TGCTTGGGAAAATAAAAGGAGTGATCAGTTTGTTTTATTTGAGGGTCCCTCTTCTTCGGGTGGGTTCGAACCCGGGATCGGCTCTACAAGACTATCCCTCAGGTCCCTGGGCTGGCCAGTCTTCCCAGGGTTGATCACTTGAAAAATATTGCGCCCCTCCTCTACATAACGAGTTAACCCCGGTTAACGATACGACCAGCTTTCTTCGCTTACGCTGCCGAGGTGGACGCCAAAAATCCATGAGTGGGGAGCGTGGTGATCGCCAGGCTTGGCAAGAGCTTTTGAGGGGATATCGCTTTTAACTCGCAGGATGAAGGTGTGGTTTTGTATCCGGATCCTCGGACTACGCCATCCTGAGATTTTGTTTCGAAGACCAGGGAATAAAAGGTTGTGCGAGTGGTACAGGAGAGAGCTCACGTAGAGATTGATCGCAATGATCGCCAAGAAGTGCCAAACATCTCTTTCTTCGGTCTTGTCCTTCAAAACCTTCTCGCACCTGGATTTGTCGAAAAGATTTAAGAGTGCACCAAGGCGGGTCTAGGTAATGGTACCAAGGGACTTGGATCATGGTGATCGCCACGGCGGTGTCAGGCTTATGCTCTTTCTGAAGAGATATTCTATCATTTGGAGATGGTTGTGAGTTATCCTCACAACCATCTTGTTGCGCGATCATTGCATTGAAACCCGTCAAGGATCACTACAGCATGATCTGGATGCTCTTGCGAGGTCTGGAAGGCTGGAGGACCCCGAGGAGCTCATCCCCATGCCATTCTTTCCAGATCACAACCTAAAGGCTAAAGCCGCTCGACCAGCGTCTAGCTCGAGCTATAGAACTTCCACAAATCCTGGAAGTAGAGAAGCTAAGGATCTAGCAGCGAGGGTGCAAATCCTCGGGGATCTCTGGAAAACTTACGTCACAAAAGCTCACTGTCCACAACTCACATTCGCAATCGATTGTTAGTCCATCTACCTGGACAAGAATCAACGCCAGAAGATGAGAACCGCCTGGAATCCTGCTGGCTCCAAGAAAGTGGGAGCTCCGTGGGATTGTCTGCGAGTTATAACTGGCGGTTGTCTCGCGGTTCCGATCGAAGAGGACAGATCCCCGACAGATCCCGGGAATCTCCAATGAGATGCTGAGGCCTGCCACGTGGTAGGGGCGAGGTCTCTCCCAAGTCTATATAAGCAGGGGTTTGTGCTGTGATGAAGCATAGCATATTTAAATACCTGGTCACCGGGGCATGTAGTGTAGGATTCCCTCTGCTGCATGAGGCTGCGGTCTCTGGGGCTGATCCCCCGCCCGAGGCCCCCATTTTCTTAAAACTGAAAACTAAGAAGCAGCTTTTGGTTCTGTTTCTGAGGATATTAGCACAATAGAAACATGAAAACTAGTTCGATCAGCTCTAGTATTGAATGACAAATGAGAAGAAATTTGTACACTGGATTTTTCATTGGTATAGTTGTAGGGATCATCTCTTGGCAGTCATGGACGTTTACTGAAACATCAGCAATAGTTCGCTTATGATCCTGCAAAAGAAAGTAAAAAGGATGAACTCCAATGGGATTTTGCTCATATGCCTTAGCTCTGTAGTTCCACAAGCACCTTTCATCATTAAAGAAGAAAACAGGAGGTCGAGAAAAAGAAAAGAATGTACTTACCCTTGGATGCCAAGTAGATCAGATACAAAGGGACAAGAAAGAGTCTGCCAGCCAAAGCGAGATTCAAGATGGCTCCTCCAGGACTGTCTTGGGACCTCATAGCTTGGATCTGTTCAAATGATCATCCAGATATGTTTTAAGAGTATCAGTGGAAATCTCTTCCAGAATCGAGAGTTACTGCTTGGCTTGTGACGTTTCCTTGTGCTCCTTGAACGCCTTTGCGACTTGCTCTACAGGAGGAAAATATTTAACAAACCGGGAAAAGAAATGCTGAAATTTCTCTCTCACCTCTGGATCGCAGACATCACACTCAACGAAGATGGCAAAGGGAGGATTAGGATTCGTCAGCTAGCTCCTCTTTTACCAAGCTCAGTGTTCACAGCCCATTCTCACATGACAATTCCACAATCGTGATGGTTCCACTGCGCATCGCAAGTGCCAGCAGCCTCCCTGGAAAAGACAATTCGTTCGAGTGAAAGTGAGCCTTATTCTCTCTGCTTTTTTGCTCTTTGCTGTGTGTGCCAAAAGAAGAGACATACCAATGCCAGTGATGAGGACGCAAGAGCCACCTCCAACCTTCATCTTCTGCTCGTTCAAGAACGCATTATAGACGTTTTCAAAAGAAAGGTATAAGCTACCTGGGTTTGAGGATTTCAATTTTTGCCAGCCAACTTTCTCGATAATGACATGCTCTCAGGAAAATTGGTGTTTAAAGGGAAGGATGATGTGATGTAGAACACTAGCCCAGCCTCCACATTTTCTGGTTTCAGTTGTTTGTCGTTCCATCTCCTTTGAAATTGTGCCAAGACATCCCAATGTATCGTTGTCCAAGTTTTTATAAATGTTTTCACATAAGCAAGCCTGATGTTTGGATCGCCTCAATGATGGCAGCCCAAGGGACACCAACAAAGGAAGGAGATTGAGGTGTTCAGGGAGACATGCACGCAAAGGGAGGCTTAGGAGGCTTGTGTTCCTTAGCTAAGATTGCTCCTTAGTGCGTGTTGCGGCTTCCATCCATTTGCAACTTCCACAGGTGAGGCATTGGGCCCTAGAGTGGACATTCCATGGCTGCTGACTTCACAAATTGAGGGAAGCGATCGTCGGTGAGGAAGGGACCATCATGTCTAAACACACCAATATCACCTTTGCTTCCATGCTGTTCACAAGGTTCCCCCTTAGTGGGAGGCAATAAGTCATCCGTCCTCGTCCTCGTGGACAGTCCTGGAGGAGCCATCATGAATCTTGCTTCGCGTGTGCATTCGATGGCTGCCGTGAGGTTCATGCTCAAGACCTTACGCCATTTGCTCACGAAGTCCCCCCGCTCGACATGACGCACGCATCCAGTCTCAAGAATGTTTTGTGACTTGCTCTACAGGATATAAATATTTTTAAAAACAGGAAAAGGAATGCTGAAAGTGTCTCTTGACCTGGATCGCGGACATCACACTCGATGAATATGGCAAAGGGAGAATTCAGATTTGTCAGCTTTTGGTGCTCCTCCTTCACCAAGCTCAGAGTTCGCATCCCATTCTCACGTGACAAATCCACAATCGTGATGTTTGCACCACCAGCGCCATCCCTGGAAAAGCCAATTAAAGTGCTTTCCAGACGAGAAATTCTTATCTCTCTTCTTTCTCTTTTTCTGAGTGTGCCAACGAAGAGACATACCAATGCCAGATCCAGAGCCAGTGATGAGGACGCAAGAGCCCCCTCAGACATTCATCTTCACCTTGTCTTGTAATTCAAGAACACATTATAGACATTTTTAAAAGAAGGCTATAAGCTGCATGGGATTGAGGATTTCACAAGTTTTGCCAGCCACTTACTCAATAATGACATGCTCTTAGGAATATAGTAATTGGTGCTTAGGGAAGGATGATGATCTGGAACACTATGATCACCGTGAGAGAAGCATGCTTAGAATGCCCCACCAGGATCAACGAGACAATTGTGTCAGGCACGAGACCGCAAGGATTTCTTGCGTGAAGATTTTTTCCAGAGAATCCCACGTGAGATGATGATCCTTGTTCAGACAACAACATGATTATTTTAATAAAATAACGATTAGTAGAGCTAATTAAATTTCTTCTTGAAGATCCTAGAGCATAATTGAATTTATAACATAAAAAAATTAACGATGGCGGGAATGAATTCTAAAAAAACGATTAAGTTTTAATCTTTATTAGAATTTGACTGATATTTACCGAGAGCATTCACCGCCACTCTGCCATGCTTCAACTTGATGCGCTCAAGACGTTCGCATAATAGATACTAATACTACAATTAATACTAAAATGATATTAATACTGGTATTAACTTGGGCCACGCAGGAGAGAGCTCAGGTAGACATTGATCGCGATGATAGCCAAGACTCGGCAGTGGTGAAATGAAAGTGCCAAACATCTCTTTCTTAGGTCTTGTATTCTCTTCTCTCTCGCACCTGGATTTGCCGGTCTTGGGAATGGTTACCCGCCGACATCTGCAAACCTTGTAAACAAACAAGTTCTTCAAGCTCGGTCTTGTCGCCATCTCTTTTCCCACTCGCTCGCGGCCTGACCCTCACCACCATTCTCCCTTTTACTTCAGAACCTTGATCTAAATTGGTAAAACTATCATCGGCTGCGTGGCTTGAGCGGGCTCTCTGTCCTCTTTGAGAAAATGGTACCTGGAAATGTTGTAAACTTGTGAATACATGTAGTGCCTAGAGTTGGCCTGGAAACCAATACAGCAAACTCGTCAAAGAAGAACAAGAGAAGCAGCAAACTTACATTTCTAAAGTTGGAGGATAGAGCTCCTCAGGTTCTTACCATGCACCGTCCTGTCTTCAAGGACGTCGCGTGGTACAAGTCGGCCCCTCCGACTTGTACCACAAGCTCAAACGTCGGAAGCAGCCACGCCCGCCGCCGCGAGCGTCGAGAACAAAAACGACGACAACGGTACGTCGAGGGAGAAACACGAGCCTCTTACTTAAAAGAGGCGGCACGGGTGGAAGGACAACTCAGAGTCGTCCAAGAGGCGGAGGAAAGGAGGGGACGAGGAGGAAACGGGTGGAACAGCTCGGCGGACAAGGCACACTACTTCTAGGGCAAAGGGGACTTCTCGCAAGGACCATCTTGATCGAGCAGGGGAAGAGGATTAGTTTTGGGAGATTCTTACAACGGGGCGAGCAGCACAGAGAAAGCAGATCGAGCGGAATAACAAAACCAGAGATGGTCACACACACAAGAAAAAGAATTTTTTTGGGGGGAACTTGGGCTGCAAAAAGAGTTGCTTCGATCGAACGAGATGGTCTGGTGGCCGAGCGAATTGTACAGGGAGGGGGATTGTCCATACAGGAGGAATGGAATTCCACATACACGAAAGCTTGTATTTCTTGACAATCCTCGTCGACAAAAATCCTATTTTTTGTTCTTGTTCTTGTCAAGCCAGGCGTTGATCTTTTCTTCGGTTGGAGAGAGCGTCTTGTTCTTGGTGGTACGCTGAAAAAACACGAAGAACTTGAGTATGGAATCGAGTTTTTCATACCTTGATGTATTCGAAGTAGTCTGTGTAGTTGCGTTTGTAGTAGCTTTCCAGCCTCTAAATCACAAGAATGTGAGTGATCTTATCAAGAGAACTTACTTCTCTATCGTTCTTCTCTTTGTTGGCTTTACTTCTTTCCAGGAGCTCTGCCAGTGGCAAATAAGATTTGCTCCAACTGATAAGATGCTGTGGCACTTACTTTGGACGAATTCGTTCTTCTCCGCTGGTGGCGGGCCTTGCGGAAGAATCGCCGCGGCGGCGCAAGAAGAATTTAATGCCACTCCAAAGCCACAAATCGAAGCCACCATTTCTCTTCTAGAACACAAGCAGCCATGGCAGATTGCCGCCATGGAAGAATCCTTGGTGCTAGGGAAAGCTATCTGCAATTATATTACACTGAGAGTTATCAATTGTGTGACTTTAATCAATGGTCATAGGAAGGATCTCGCGCATACAGGCGTCCAGAGAGGTCCCTGCCAATGGACTCGGAAGTTGATGGAACGAGTGCGGCATCTGCGCGTCTTCCCATGCAAAAGCTCGATTTTTGTACCGAGGGTTAAGGCCTAACTAAACTCGTTATGTAGAGGAGGGGCGTAATATTTTTCAAGTGATCAACCCTGGGAAGACTGGCCAGCCCAGGGACCTGAGGGATAGTCTTGTAGAGCCGATCCCGGGTTCGAACCCACCCGAAGAAGAGGGACCCTCAAATAAAACAAACTGATCACTCCCTTTTATTTTCCCAAGAATGTTGGGGCACGGATTCGAACCCATCACTCCTTCGTACTTGGAATTTTGAGCATGTGAAAGCAAAAGTTAACTGCATTCTTGAACGAGCAGAAGATGAAGGTTGGAGGTGGCTCTTGCGTCCTCATCACTGGTGCTGGATCTGGCATTGGTATCTCTCTTCTTTTGGCACACACAGAAAAGAGAGAAACAGCGGAGAGAATAAGTTCTCGTCATCGGCTCACTTTCACTTGATCGAACTGTCTTTTTCCAGGACCTTGCGAGGCGCGGTGGAAACATCACGATTGTGGATTTGTCATGTGAGAATGGGCTGTGAACCCTGAGCTTGGTAAGAGAGCCGACGAATCCGTCCCTTTGCCATCTTTGTTGAGTGTGATGTCTGCGATCCGGGTGAGAGAGATACTTCAGCATTTCTTTTCCCGGTTTGTTAGATATTTTCCTCCTGTAGAGCAAGTCGCAAAGGCGTTCAAGGAGCACAAGGAAACGTCACAAGCCAAGCAGTAACTCTTGATTCTGGAAGAGATTTCCACTGATACCCTTAAAACATATCTGGATGATCATTTGAACAGATCCAAGCTATGAGGTCCCAAGACAGTCCTGGAGGAGCCATCCTGAATCCCGCTTTGGCTGGCAGACTCTTTCTTGTCCCTTTGTATCTGATCTACTTGGCATCCAAGCGTAAGTACATTCTTTTCTTTTCCTCGACCTCCTGTTTTCTTCTTTAATGATGAAAGATGGACTCGGTTCACAAGGTCGCTTGTGGAACTACAGAGCTAGGGCATATGAGCAAAATCCCGGGGTTTGGAGTTCATCCTTTTTACTTTCTTTTGCAGGATCATTAGCGAACTGTTGCTGATGTTTCAGTATGTTGAAACGCCCATGACTGCCAAGGAGATGATCGCTGCAACTATACCAATGAAAAATCCAGTGTACAAATTTCTTCTCATTTTTCATTTAAAGAGGCTTAAGAATTTTCTGTGCTTAATGCATTTGAGCCAAGAAAATAAATATCTTTATTGGAGTAGGATCTTTTACTATTCAACTAGGAGGATTCTTCATAATATAGCTACAATGAGGGATAAAAATTATAAACAACAACTAAAAGAGGAGAGGTGAGGTAATTTGGTTTCACAAGAGAAAAAGAGAATCATCCAAATTATGAAAGTGAGTTATATTTCTATTGCTTTAAACATACTATTACAAAGATTTGAGTGAGAGCCATAGAAAAGTTGGTGTTTCTGATTTCCCAAATGGTGGTGAATATAATTATTGTATGAATCCAATGCCAAGGAGAGAAATAATTTTAGCAGTTGCGGATGCTATTAAAGAGGAACTCTTTTTAGAGTTATAAGGAAGTCCATTTTTTAACTTGATGTTGAACAAGAATATATATAATCAATTTAAACCACATTTAATTCTTTATATGTGAGCTTAAAGAAAAGTGTGTTCAAACTACAAAGTTCATTTAATTGTTATCTTTTCAAGATGGTATAGCTAAATCAATCCTAATTTAAGTGGCAGAGAGCTTAAATTTAAACTTGAACAAACTTGTAACTTTTAGAACAAATATATATAACACTATATTGGATTTTATTATAAGAGTTGTCTAATTTTAAACTTAAATATAATATCAAATATATAAGGAAGGTCGAAGGGTAGAGTTAAAAGATAGTTTTTTTATTTATAAAGTTTTTTTCCCATTAATAAGAAGGCTAAAAATTATATTAAAAGATTAATTATATGGATGTTTTTTTTTCTTTGTACCAAATTTAAAATGTTTTACACCAATCCACATCATCCTGATTAGGAGAATTTATCGATATTATTATCAATTAGTCTGCAATATTTTTGTAGTCTTTAAGTGCATTTATACCTTAGACTTGTGGGTTTGTGGCTTGAACAGCCTTGCTAGTACCAATTGACAATCTGATTTGAGAAGATTTGGGCGACTGTTGTCCATATAGAAAAACAAAATAAATTGGTTTATGGTTGGAGGAAGTGTCTCGCAGACAACTTCAGCAAGACGTCACAGCACTGGCTGTTTTAGCCTCGACGAGAATGGTGTTGGGTCAATAGCACATGGAGCCAGCTTCCATTGAGATTCTTTTTACATTCTTTTTTATGGAGAATATCAAAGAGCCCATGTAATTAGGAAAGGATGGTTCGCATATTGCAAGAGGATCATGGCGAGGAGATTCGAGAATGCAGGAAGAAAGACATCCACAGTAGGTAGTGTGTGATTCGCATTTTTTTCTTGATCAATCGGTTTGATGAATCATTCTCTTGTTTTTCTCTTCTCGTTTTCCTTGGCAGTCTTGATTGGATGGGATAGAAACCAGTGGAGCGTTTTCGCCACCAAGCTCTCGGTGGTGATTTACTCGCTGGGACTCGTAACAACTTGAAGCACTGGAAGGACAGTGGGAAATTTGTGACTGGAGCGCCACGCAATGGCATCTTGGCTTTTGGACACGGCCGGTCTTCGTTCCATTTTATCTTTTCGGCTTTTTCAGAGATCGAGAGGTGTTTTTTTGTTTTTTTCCTTGTGTACATATAACTTAGCATTGTATCAGCTTGTTGCAGGACCAAGCGGCCGCTTAGCTCGATGCTAGCGTCCAGGGAAATAGGCCAGCTCCATCAAGAAGGCTTTCCTACTACTTTGAGATGGCCATAATCACAGGTCAAACTTGAGTTCACATAAAAAGAAAAAAGCCTTCTCTCATCCTGATCTTTTCTTTTGTATTTTACTGGGATACTACGGTCCAAATAGCAGGTTGAGAACTAAACGTGACCTTCACAACGAATGATGCTGTGAGCTATCTTTCTTAATGTCCCGATGCACAAACTAATAGGGAAAATATCCGGATGTGAAGGTTTCCCTATAATAACGAGAAGTATGGAACTTTTACTTTCAGTTAACTTGTATTTGCAGAGTCTCTATAAACTTTCTGTTTGTTTTCGATGTGGAGGTAAGGTGAAGCTTGTATTGTCTACGTCTAAATCTTCTTAAAGTTCTACTAGGCTTTGATTTTAGAGCAGTGGAAAACGTTCCCTTGCATGAGCCGCAGGTGTTTGATAAGATCTGATTCTTTGTTCATAAACACTTGTTACTTTACGGATACCAATGGTGAGAACATTTTCCATTTCATCCAATCGTGTTCTAAGGCTGCAAGGATAATCTCACCACTTCTACAAATGGTTTGTTAGATTCAAGGACAACAATGTTACTTCCCTATCACGCCAAGATGGTGGTGCTCTTTACAATGGATTATCATATGCACGGCTTTGCTGAGGTATAAACTTAAACAATTGTCATCAATCAATCAACATTTGGCTCATACGCTCTCTCCATTCTTACTATAAATCCAGGTCAATCTCATTGTCGCCCCAAGAGTTACGATAAATTCTTCGCGATTCGTCCATTCGAGAACACACTCCTCAACTTGGACGTGGATCACGGTGATCGCCACTGGCGGCGTCAAGCCAAACAACAGGCCTATGCTCTTTCCGTGGCACACTAGCGACAACCAGCTGTGGAGTTCATCGACGCTTGAAAAGCAACAAAAGAGTTATCCTCACAACCATCTTGTTGCGCGAGTGAGCAATTCTGTCGAGCGTTTTGCATCCATGGAGGCGGATCATTGCATTGAGACCCGTTAAGGATCACTACAGCAGCGTTCTGGATGTTCTCGCGAGGTCTGGAAGGAGGACGCCGAGGAGCTCATCTACACGCCATGCCATTCTTTCCAGATCACATCTCCTGGGTTTTGTTCCTCGCGGCTTGCAAAGTTCACGTAAAGCCGCTCGAGCCAGTGCCTAGGTAGCTATAGAAGTTCCACAAACCTTGGAGCTCCAGATTTAATCATTTTTCCGAGGATGCGAATCCTCGAGGATCGTCTGGAAAATTTACATCACAACGATCGCAGGGTCAAATAAGGATTAGGGCTCTTGAGGACTAAAGGCTTTTTCTATCGCTCTACATTGGCAACGCTGACGATCGGCATGGATCCTCATGGATCCATTTTGCCTGGGTGATGGCTGCGCGTCGCCCTGCAGCTCCCGGCAAGATCGTCCCGTTGGTAAGAACATAACCGCTGCGGGAGTGCCTGGGTCCATCTTTGCTCGAATTCTCGCAAGAAATCCTGCGTTGAAGCGAATCCCCTCCTTAGCGCCTCGTCCAGGCCCCTCGTCACCACCGACGCGCTGCGAGAAACAACGCCAATGCAGGGACGAGAACAATCACCCCCTCCACCCCTCTGTTACAAGATCGTGAGCTCGAACACAAAGCTATGGAGTATAAGCTTTGCAAGAGAGAATGTGTATGATTTGAAACTTCCAATGTCAAGGATCTAGAGAAGCTCCTTTAGACGAGCGCGGGAAACCTCCATGGCCTCCATGGCCTTGGATTTGATTTCCTTTGCTCGTTTCCTCAGCGTTTCACTGCCCATCAGACTCCTGGCTGCTCGCTCGACTTCGCCCCTTCCAACAATCCTGGAGCTTCCATCGCTGCTGCTCTTGCTCTCGATCCTCACCCCGGCTCTCCACACGTCCACCATGAACTTACAGTTGATGGGCTGGTCGCCCATGATCGGCCACCCGATCATCGGGACCCCGCAGCTCAAGCTCTCGAGCGTCGAGTTCCAGCCACAGTGCGTAACAAATCCTCCCACGCTCGGGTGCCTGAGAATATCAATCTGCGAGCTCCATGACACGATCAACCCCCGGTTTCCAATCCTCGTCCGCAAGCCCTCGAGGAAATCCCCGAGCTTCCGCTGGGAGCTCTCAGGTAGGACCCAGAGAAAGCTCTGCTGGCTTGCCTCCAAGCCATAGCCGACCTCCATGACTTGTTCTTCCGGGAGCTCCAGCATTGTTCCAAAGCACACGTACAATGCGGATGAAATCTCTTGTGCGTCGAGCCATTCCTTTTGGGTGTGATCTTCCAGATTTGATCCCTGCCCGACGGGCAAAGGTCCAACGTTGACAAGCTTGCGAAATCCCTGCTCTCGCAAAGCACCCAAAGTTTGCTCCTCCACCTCGTCCAAAGTATTGACGAGCAGCCATGGAGCCTTGAGCAGCGGGTTTTTGAGCTTTCTCATCGAGCTAAAGCCCACTGGATCCAGAGGGTCCTCGGGGATGTCTGTGAAAACCGAGAGCTCGCAAGGAACGCCTGGTATCACGGACGAATCCACCACTTTCTTCTCGGGCGATCGATCATTCCTGGAGAGCGGAAGGAATCCTTTCTCCAGGAGCGTCTCGACGTTGACAGAGATGTGGAGCATGGCCGCCGACGACGTCCAAAACGCAGCAACGTTGCAATCTAAGCTCTCGAGAGGCTCGACAAGCAAGAAGTCAATGATGGCCAGGGAAACCGGCCCGAGCTCGCGAGCAGAAGCCGCGACGAGCTTCTTAATCTCGTCCGAGTTCCTGGCCATGATCTCGATGCTCTCGGGGAACTTATAGCCTTCGCTGCGGTTTCTATCGACTTCCAGAGCCTGAAATCTAATGGCTTGCCTCAAGTTTTGGTCGCCATCGCAGAGATGATTGAGGGCCGAGAGTGATGCTCGGAGAGTGCTGCTCGTTGTGATGAATGTGATGTCGGATCCAAGGGACGCTAGCTGCACAGAGAGCTGGAGCAACGGATTAGTGTGGCCAGAGATTGGAAGAGGAATCACCACAACGTGAGACGGATTGGTTTTCGTGCTTCCGGACGCCATAGCTGACAAGCTCTCTCGGCTTGAGAATGAGAAAATGACTTCACAACAAAAGAGTTAGGTTTGATATTACTTCTGACCATTTGCTTGTTGCTTGTTGCTTCCTTGCTCTGTGAACACTCCCGTGTTTACCGGATCTCTTCATACGTGGCTAGGCTCAAGCCGGGCATTCAACGGAAGGTGCCAAAGCGACGCCATTCCAAACGACAGAAGAAAATCTTGGCGAATCTGCTGAAGCTAATGCCTTACTCTTACATGCTTATCAGGTAAGAAAATGTTTTAAGTGAGTTGTTGAGATTATATGCATATGTTGACATTTGTGCCAAGTTGGGCCATAAACAGCATCCACGGTATGGATCACTCATTTTCTCGCAGCTCTTTGGAAAAGTTTAGTCGATGGTTCATCTACCTGGACGAGAATCGACGCCAGGCGATGAGAACCGACTGGAATCTTGGCCAGGATTTTGGCTCCAAGAAAGTGGGAGCTCTGTGGGATTGTTATAGCTGGTGTTCCGATTGAAGGGGGGGCCACAGATCCTGGTTTAGGTCTGTCACGTGGTAGGGGCTTACATTTTTCTGCTGGATGTTCTAGCAGTCTACGTAGAAGCAAACTATTTTTGTGATCAAACGCTACTTTCATCTGATCTTGCTAAGATCGCAGGGCCAGTAGAGGGCACCGGTTGAATAACCCACAGGCATGCGCCAGCTTGTTTCTCGTCCTCGATCAGCTCCAGTATCGCTGCGAACAAGGCAAAGAGAAAGAAAAACATGACAAATGAGTACATGAAAGATACTGTATGCGTTACCTTGAATGATCTTTTCCATTGGTATGAAGCCACCAGTTGCAGCGATCATCTCCTTGGGGACAATGTCAGTCATGGGCGTTTCAACGTACTGAAACATCAGCAATAGTATCAAGTTCGCTTACGATTCTGCAAAAGAAAGAAAAAAGGATGAACTCCAAACCCCGGGACACAGAACGTTTGCTCGTATGCCTTCGCTCTGTAGTTCCACAAGCGACCTTGTGAATATCACAAGTCCACCTTTTATCATTAAAGAAGAAAACAAACTAATGTACTTACCCTTGGATGCCGAGTAGATTGGATACAAAGGGACAGGAAAGAGGCCAGCAGCCGAAGCGAGATTGACAATGGCTCCTCCGGACCGTCCTGGGACATCATAGCTTGGATCTGTTCAAATGATCATCCAGATATGTTTTAAATGTATCAGTGGAAATCTCTTCCAGAATCGAGAGTTACTGCTTGGCTTGTGCATTCGATGGCTGCCATGAGGTTCACGCTCAAGACCTTGTGCCATTTGTCATCGCTCACGAAGTCCCCCTGCTCGACGATCCCTGCACAGTTGACGCACGCATCCAGTCTCAAGAACGTTTCCTTGTGCTCCTTGAACGCCTTTGCGACTTGCTCTACAGGAGAAAAATATTTAATCGGGAAAAGGAATGCTGAAGTGTCTCTCTCACCTGGATCGCAGACATCACACTCGACGAAGATGGCAAAGGGACGATTCGGATTCATCAGCTCTTGGTGCTCCTCTCTTACCAGGTTCAGGGTTCGCAGCCCATTCTCACATGACAAATCCACAATCGTGATGTTTGCACCACGCCTCGCAAGGTCCAGCGCCAGCGCCCTCCCTGGAAAGCCAATTCGATCGAGTCAAAGTGAGCCGATGACGAGAACTTCTTATTCTCTCTTCTTTCTCTTTTGCTGTGTGTGCCAAACGAAGAGACATACCAATGCCGGATCCAGCGCCAGTGATGAGGACGCAAGAGCCACCTCCAACCTTCATCTTCAGCTCGTTCAAGAATACATTATAGACGTTTTAAAAGAAAGCTGAGGGTTTCACAAGTTTTGCGAGCCACTTTCTCGATGATGACATGCTCTGAGGAAAGTTGGTGCTTAAAGGGAAGGATGATGTGGTCACTGTGATGACCGTAAGAGAAGGATGCTTAGAATGCCCCGTCAGGATCAACGAGACAATTGTGTCGGGCACAAGACTCGCAAGAATTTCTTGCATGAGGATTTCTTCCACAGAATCCCGTGCGAGATGATGATACTTGAGAATAGCATTGGGCTTTATTTTTCCCTGCTCTTGGTCTGACAACAGATTTCATTGAACCAATGGTGATATATATTGTAAACTTGAATAGATTGATCTGCTTTTAATAAAATTTAGATTAGTAGAGTTAGTCTTAGCTAAAGTGAAGCACTAGCAGCTGGCTAAGTTTGAAGTACCAGCTTATAGCATTTTTCTCTCTTTATATTTGCGCACTTTGATTGAAATATGGTATTATTTTCAATATAAATTGAAAACTTCCTTTTAAACAAATTAATTATCCAATACGAATGAAGCTCTCTGGAAACAAAGTCCAGATACGAGTGGAATTTCTGCTACCTTTGAGCCACCCTTTGAATGCCAGTGCAATCCAAGACTTCTGGAATGGTTGTGACTGGTTGTTGTAGCGACATGTTGAGGTTTATATCGAGTTTCACTGTGCATGGCAATCATGCCACCACCCTGTATGGTGACTGTCTGTCAGTTGTTGAGAATCCTGAATAGCCGCATAGACACATCGCTCCATGTCATCCTTTTGGGCACTAAGGATGAATTGGAGCGTGTCTCACCAAGCCCGGGTTTCAATTGGAAGAACACCAGCTTTCATACCAATCAGCCTGTACTGAATTGGGCTGCAAAGTTTCGGTGGGTAACTTCTAGGTCTGCCCAGCCTTTCTTGTGTTGTCCCAGAAGGATTGCCAGTATCTGTGTAAGAGTTGGCGACGAGCATCCCAGTGGACGATGTTGTTTTGACGAAGGGCCCGAGCATGGGCGTTAAGGTTCTGGATCCTCCTCAACATATCGTGGGTGCTGAGTTGGATGACGCTCCACGGTGAGATGAAGTAGGATCCACGATATCAGCTTCAGTCGTGGTTGCGTGCATGTAGCTGATGGTGGAAGTTGTTTATCCTTCTCGTGGGGACTGCGGTGTAGAGAGGCATTGACAAGGGTGATCACCGTTGCTCAGTTGCTTTGCTTCTGTATCATACAGTTGGGCATGGTGTCAGTTTCCATTTGTGTTTGAATGGCAATGTTGCAATTCAAAGAAGCTACTTGATATGCCAAGGTGAGGATGGTGTCCTGTTGGGTGTAGTCCCTGAGCTCCATCATACTCCGGCTGATGAGTGCTCGTGATGGGAGTGCCTGTGGCTATGGGCAGGAGCAAACTAGATGGCACCAATGAAGCGTGTTTTAATGGGCATGCTTGCGATTCATTTGCGCTCTCTTTGTGACCAAGGGTGAGAGGAAGATTGGGCTCTACCCTTCAGTTTGTCTTATAAACTGGCGAGAGAAAGCGAAGCACCGAGATAGGGGTTGTTTTCTGAGATTTCGGCTTGAGCTCCCGCCTGATCTTCGCTGCCATGTCTCGTTGCCATAGCTATCTTGGTGGCTCCTCATTATAAACATTGTCACTTATACATTGTCTCATGGTTCCTGTTATTACCATCCACACTGTTAATTTAGGTCATCAATACTTATCCCGTAAATTATTGCAAATTTTTTTTATATGCCTTCTTGACCCTAAACCCGTAACACGCCCACGTGGCAGACCTAAATTCGACGTTATTTACTTTGGAATATTCCCACGACACTTTGTTTTAGGGTTTATGAGGAGCAGTGACGCAATTGTACAACACATCAAAGCTTGCGCCAGGCTCCCCAATCTCGATCGAGCAGCCCAGATCCATCGCCACATTCTAGACGACCCACACCTCCAGCACGATCGCCTCCTCGCCAATCTTCTCATCAATCTCTATGCCCAATGCGGCAGCCTCAGCCACGCCAAATCCACCTTCGATTCCATCCAATCCCCAAATCCCTTCTCCTGGAATCTCCTCCTGCAAGCCTATGCCCAGAGCGATCGCCTCCAAGATGCCGCTGCTGCCTTCCGCAAGATGCCGGCCAGGGGCATTGTTTCCTGGACCTCGATCCTCGCGGCATTTTCCAGGAGTGGGCATTTGGAAGAGACCTGGAGCTTGTTCTTGGAGATGCCCTGCCGGGACGTGGTGGCCTGGACGACGATGCTCGTGGCTACGATCCAAGCCGGGCTCGTCAGCCACGCATCCCAGATCTTCCACAAGCTGCCCCAGTTCGATGTGATCTCTTCCACCGCCATGCTCCAATCACTCGCCAAGGACCCGTCGATGCAGCGCCACGCCAAGGAGCTCTTCGATTCCATGCCCGAGCGCAACGCATTCTCCTGGAACGCGATGCTCCAAGCCTGTGTTCTTCACGGAGGCAGCGATCAAACGAGGGATTTCTTCCACCAGATGCCGCAGAGGGACGCGGTGTCGTGGAATCTGCTCGTCGCGGCCGCGGCCCAGGCAGGGATGAGCGATGAGATGACCACGACCTTCGAGAGAATGCCGCAGTATGATATTTCGACCTGGAACCAGCTGCTTGGATGCTTCTCTGATCTTGGAGAGCTGGAGCAAGCCGAGACGATCTTTTTCACCCGAGCTCCCCAGCGCAATGCGCTCTCCTGGATGTCGATGATCCACGCCTACAACCGCAAGAATCTCCCGGACAGAGCGAACTCCACCTTCCATCGCATGCCGGCATGGAACGATTTCGCCTGGGTCGCGATCATCCAAGCCAACGCTGCCAAAGGCGATCTCCCCCAAGCGCAGACCCTGTTCCACACCATGCCGGCCAAGAATCTCTTCGCCTGGAGCGCCATGGTCCAGGCAGCGGCATCCTCGTCCTCGGATCACTCCCAGCGCCTCGCCCGGCGATATTTCGATCGAATGCCGCAGCGGGACGTCGTGTCGTGGGTCGCCATGGCCGCATCGAGCGCACGGCTGGGAAACCTGGAATCCGCGCTCGAAATCGTCGAGCAAATACCCGACAAGAACATCATCTCCTGGACCGCGATCATCCAGGCGCTCATCCGGAGCGGCTACCATGCCCAGGCGCTCGATCTCTTCCTCGCGATGCAGCAACTAGGGATCCATCCCAACGAGGTAACCTTCCTCGCGGTTCTTACTGGCTGTAGCCACGCCGGGCTAGTGGATCGAGCCCGCGACCTCGTGCTCTCGATGGGCCAGTCGTACGGGATGTGGCCGTCCATGGACCTCTACCTGTGCATGGTGGACGTGCTGGCACGGGCAGAGCGGCTGGAGCTGGCCGAGGAGCTCATCCGTACAATGCCGTACTTCCCCGATGACGTGGCATGGACGTCGCTACTGTCCGCGTGTAACTCCAACGGCGACCGGGCAGGCGGTGCCCGAGCTGCCCGAGAGATCGTACGGATGGTCGCGGGCGATGGCACGCCGTACGTCCTTCTCTCCAACACGCATGCTCAAAGCGATGGCAATGGAGCTTTAGATTTTTCGTCCTTCGATTTGTGACAACTATATAGTAACAAACAGTGTGAGGTTTTGTATACTGAAAGATCTTCTCCCATCACTCTTCCGTGATCCTGGATCGATAGCTTCGACTTTTCTGGTTCTTGGAGCTCGGCTGTGCGTTTTCTTCCATGGCCACACCCTCGTCTTCCAATCCTCTAGCGGCGAAGCTCACAGAAGTAGCGCTGCCGCTTGGAGTAGTCGAGTCCTTGGTCGATCCACCAGGCTTGGATGATCCAGCTCTCTCTTTGTTTGCTCGAGGAACGAAGGGGACGTGCTGTGGAAGCTCAAAAGGCTGCTCTTCTTCTCCTTCATTCTTAGCAGAATTGATGGCCGCCATGGTGGATTGCCACGCCTGGACGTTGTTGCTATTGCCTTCTTCCCCCCAGTCAAGAGTGTAGTGCGTATACTTCTCTGGATGCCTTACGTGATGAGGAACGTTTCTGTAGCGATCGATCCCAGCTCTCTGGCGATGACCACCATCATCTCTCGGAGTTCTTCGCGTTTTCTGGTTCTCCTCCTCTACTGCAAACCTGACCTTCTTCTGTGGACGATCGTCACGGCTTTCGTTCTTCCTCTTGTCACTAGAGTCTGAAGTCCGAGTTCCACTACTTTTCGGCCTGGAACTCGAACTTCTCCTGTGCAAATCCTCGGTCCTATGCAAATCCGGTGTGGTGCCATTGATCTTGGCTTCTCTCGCTTCTGCGAGACGATCTGCTGCTGCTGCTTTGCGCGATGCTAGATCATCTCGAGCCATAAAGCTGGCGCCGGAAAGAACACTCAAGCTGTCAAAACTTGCCTTGACATCGCTTGTGTAGAGCCGATCACCAGCGCCCTCTCTTCCCACAGCCACCTTATCATACTCGTCCTCTTCATCCTGGGGTATATGAAAGATCAAACAAAGCAACAAAAAACTAAGAACACTGGGCATTTTTCTCCAAGATTTTCTTGCTTACCTCGTAATCCAGAGTGGTGTCCATGCCGACCATAGCTTGCACTCGAATCATCTCTTCTTCTTCGTCCACATTCTCGTCCCCATTCTCGTCCTGCCTCACCCTCTTCGTCGCCTGCTCCTCCTCAGACCTAAAACTCGACGAGCAAGTCGGCCCTTCGTCCTCGTCGTCACTGTTCGCCGCTGGCCGCCATTGCTGCCGCTCCAGCTGCGTGCCACTGACGGACCACAGCGATGGCGCGCTTCCATTCCCCAGCCCGCCAAACACCTGATCCAATCTGCTCTGGAATCCCTCCATTTTTCCCAAGAACCCTAACTTTGCCGGGGACAAAACTTTAAACCCTATGTCAGATCCACGGTCACAGAGCCCGCCACGTGTCACAAATTCAAATATTTGAATTTTAGGGCGAGTAATTTGCGAAGATGGCTAGAGATCTTTCGATCTTTGGCATTGATCACCGCCTGCCGTGGATCGAATTGTATCTATTGTTGTGTTGAGCGTGATGCAATTTGCTGCTCGCGCTGGCTTTCGCGGCCTTTGGACCTCCTTTCCCTTTGGGAAGATCCGTGAGCTCCATCACTTGAACTGTTCTTTGCTTCTTGGCTACACACATCGAGTTGCAAATCTCTCAACACCTCGAGCAAAGAATCAAAAGAGATGAGAAATTTACCATGCTCTGCCTGTTTGTAGCCTTCATGTAGCTTTCTCTTAGCAGCCGCAAGCTTATCAGTCGATCCACCGGCCTGGAAAGTTTGCCAAAGTTTTTCGAGCGAAGAAAAACTCCAGGAGATGGAAGAGAAAGAATACCTTGCTTGAGCTGCTCATCTTGCAGCTCTGTATCCTCTCATCAACACTCCTCTTGCTGGCTGATGGAAGAGGCGTAGACGACGATTTTGGTTTCGAGACGGACGCTACGCCGGGCTTCATCGAGCGAGACGTGTTGCTCGTCGCTGCCCTGTGTCTCTGATCGTCCGGCCTTTGCTGCTTCGCAGCAACACTGCCGCTACCAGAGCTGTGCTTCCCATTCGCAGCAGCAGCTACTGCTCCTCCTGCTTGGCTTCCTCTAAATCCATTTTGCTGTTGCGAAGTCGACACTTTTGCCCTGCTCGATTCCCTCTCACCGCTTCTTTTGCTGTCCGAGTTCTTCGAGCTATCCTTTCTGCTAACGCTAACCTGTTGCTTGTTTTTTCTGTCCGCCTCCGACTCGCCAGTCTTCCTGCTTACCGCCGCTGCTGGCTTTGTCTCTTCCGGCGAGTGCGCGTCCTCATAAATTCCTCTCACCCAGTCGCCAGAGCTTCCTCGTCGGGGCTTCTCGTTCATATCTCCGGAGCCAGCAGCTGTTACATTCATTAACACAACATGTGAGGAAACTCGAGCTGGAAAGGAAGAGATGACTTACACATATCATCCTCAATAAAATCGAAGAGCTGGAGAAAACGATCACTTAGACTAAGAGGACAAAGTGCTATTAGCTAGCTCGAAAGCTTACCTTGTTGACTTCCAAAGGAGCCGTCCCGGCAGCGAGGAGCTCGCCTTCGTCAACAGGTGGAGAAGGCAATCCATAGTTATTGTCAAAATGGCCTGCGGATTAAATTGAGAAACACAAAAGAAGCGAAATTTCATTTAATCACGAACCTGTAGCATTAGTACCACCAGCAAAATGCTCTGCACTCTTGGTCCATTCTTCAGCAAGAGTCTTCCATCCACTGTTTATAAGAAGAAAAGAATTTTTTCCAGAGTTTAGCTAGAGAGAACTAAAGAAAGAAGAAGTCGGGCAAAGAAAACCTGACGAGGCGTTTCACAATGGATCGTACTCTCAAGGACGGATGCTTGCGCAGATTGTTCACCGGTCTTCCAATCTCAGTAGCCTGCGCGCCACCAAACAAACGTCACAAACCGAGCACGCAAAGGAGCAAAGCAATGCACATAAAAATCTCCACTCCACGCTACCTTGAGAGCCTCGAACGAGATGTGCATGCTCTCCAATCTCTCCAGCGCCTCGCAGAGATAATCCTCCTGGAAGAAGAAGAAGAGACCACAAAGTTACTTCTTCCAGTCGATCGATCACCAATAAAAACGAGTAAGAGAAACCAAGACCAACCTCGTCTGCGAAGTGGGAGATTTGGTTCTTGATCCGGTTGATCTCTTTGATCCTCCGAGACTCCTCCTCCATCTCGTCCGTGAGAGCTTCCACGTCCATGTAGCTACAATCCGCCTTGGATTTTCTCCTGTTTCTAGACTGTTCTTGGTCGGCATTATCATCCTGGTCGTCGTGTTCTTCCTCCTGGTCCTCCTCTTCGTCCACGACCTCCACCTCCTCCTCCTCCTCCAAATCCTCCTCGTCCTCGCGAAGAGCTCCTCCTCCCGACACCACCAGCTTGTTCTCCACGACATCATCCTCCTCGTCCTCGTCCTCGTCCTCCTCGCCATCGCCACCGTCGGATCTAGACATGGCTCCTCCGCCATTCTCCTCCTCCTCCCCCTCGCCATCGTCGCACTCGCACAGCCCTGTGAGATGCGCCGTCGGGCAGAACATCTTCTCCGTGAACTTGTCCCGCCGCGCGCGCAGCTCCGCCGGCTGCTCCACGGCCGCGATGGTGATCGCGCGATCGATCACGGTCCAGATGTCCGATCCAGAGCTCTGGAAGAAGGATTTCCACTTGTCCATGGGCTCTCCCGCGCGGCGGCGCCGCCGGGAATTGGATCGCCGCGCCGCCCTTTTCCTGCCCGCCCGCGCCGCAAGGGAATCACAAACCTTTTTCGCAGCTGCCGCGATCAATGCACGCCATATCCGGTCTCCTCCTCTCTAGCGTCGCGATCCAACCCTACTTACACCAAATCCAAGCCTCCATTCCCAATTCCCCCACTGCGACAAAAATCCTGGGGATTTGATTTTGGGGGTTTGGGTTTGTGGGAGTTTTTTCTTGGTTTTCCTTTTTGCCCTTTTTCTTTTTTGGGTGGTTTTCTCAGTAAAATTCTCCAACGAATATTCGACCATCGTTCACGCGCATGCGTCCGTATCTACACATGTAGTATTTTGCTTGTATGTGATTTAAGAACATCTAAGTAAATACGTCTGTCAATCTTGTGGCCGGGAATATTCGACTACGGAACCAAGTTTCACGCGCATGCGCTCTTCCGATACGTATATACACGTTTTTCACTACCTAGTACAGAAAGCTCGCAAATTAAAAAGAACTAAAACGTAGAAAAAAGCTAACCATTGTTTTACTGTCGATCCAACACCCGGACAAGCGCAACCGCACTGCCGCCTCCACAGAGCCGCGTAAAAACTCTCAGTGCTAGCTGTCATGGCCGAATCGCAGCCGCAACTTTTTTGTCCACATGGCAAAATCTCCGGGCCCCTCCGGTACGGTGCAGGGAATATACCCAGGTTTGAATATAAATGCGCAGGGATTTACCCCGGTGTGCGTTCTACACACGGAGAGAGCGAGCGGCGAAGAAAAGGAGGAGAGAGAGGGCGGGTTTTGGAAGAACAGAGTGCTGCAGCGAAGCTATGGCTTCTCGAGTGCTGGGTTTTGCGATTCTCGTCTTCCTGGTGGCAGCATTCCAGGTCTGGATGGTATTTCTTCTCCCATCTACTTTCTCATCTCTTTGCTCTTTCTTGCCTGTGACAGATCTCCGCTGTGTCCTCAATGATCCAGGTTCGAGCTTCACTCCCCAGCCTCGAGCTCAATCCATTGCCGTAGATCGAGGCAACGCCCAAGTTGTGTGTATTGACAAAGACGAGTGTGTTTTGTTGTGTGGTTTTGGCAGGGTTCTACGGGCCGGAGCCGCCAACTTCTGGCCAAGATAGGTGAGAAGATCGATGGGGAGTGTCCCATTCTCGGGAAAACTTCGCTAAAGTTCTTGGGTTTTGTTGCTCTCCACTCGATCGTGAACTTAGAAGCTGTCTTGCAGATTGCGCGCAGGCTTGCACCTCTCGGTGCGCGGTGGCGTCGGTTCACGACCGGTGTATGAACTACTGCGGGATCTGCTGCCAGAGCTGCAACTGCGTGCCGTCGGGCCACTACGGGAACAAAGACGAGTGCAGCTGCTACCGGGACAAGAAGAACAGCAAGGGGAAAGCAAAATGCCCCTGAGCGGCATTACAATCAAAACCAAAGTGAGGCAAACGACTTGTGACTCTACATTAACTAATACATACTAGGCTCGTTTTTTGTGCTTCTTTCCCGAGACAAAAGCTACAAAAAAGCGTTGTATCCACCTGGAACTCTCAGCTTTTTAAAAAGTAATCAAATCTGGAAGTACGGAAATGAGGAAAGAGAAAATGGCTTCCAGCCATGATGGCGGGCTTCTCTTTCAGTAGCAGAATATTCTATGGCTCTCCGATCTGTGAGCTATAAGATGTGATGTGACACTGCACAAATGTCACCAGCTGTTTTCCTTGCGATTACATTAACTTTGGAAGGGGAGGACTGAAGTCTGGACTGGAAAGTGAGAGCATAATAATAATATCAATAATAATAATAACTATTATTATTATTACTAATTATTATTGAAGAAGAATAGAATTTCTACATGAAACCAGCTACCGACAAACAAAAACTCTATTATACTACCCAGGTCCTCGACAAGAATTCGCTCTCGTAGCAACAACACACCGATACTAATCATACAGATCGAGAGCGATGGGAAAAGCTCTTGCAAATGCCACTCACGGGCATTTGTCACCGCCTCGCGAGTTCTTCTTGTCTCGGTAGCAGGGGCACTCGTCCTCGTTTCCCGAATGCCCCGACGGCACGCAGTGGCACTCGACGCAGCAGATGTTGCAGTACTTGAGGCACCGCTTGTGGAGATTTGCGACCAGGCACCTCGTCTCGCACGCGGACGTGCAGTCTACAAATGCCACAGAGCAGATCTACATAAGCTTCGGCGCGCCAGAGAAACAGAAACAAAAAAAAGAAGAGAAACCACAGAGAACGTACTTAATGGAGCTGCTGGAGCTGGAACTGGAGAGACTGGAGACGGAACTGGAGAGACTGGAGCTGGAACTGGCGCTGGGGATGGAACAGTAGCAGGAGCAGCGGGAGTGGTGTCTAGAACCTGCATTCACCATAAATGGGGAGATCTCGTTCATATCACCCGCTCTGGAAACTTTAAGGAGGCATAAAAATGTACCTCCCGAGATTCCTCGTTCGATCCGGTGGCCGCTGCTGCTGCGCAGAGGAGAAACAGCAGCACCATCGCGTTGACAAACGGGGAGGCCATGATATCTTGTCTTGAATCGGACTTTCTCTTCACCAAAACGTTGGAATCTAGCGAGGACTAAGACTCTGTATGTGGGGTGTGTGGTCAACACACAAAACACTAGTAAGACTAGGAAGGAATATCTCCAGGCCGTCTTAAATATCCACGCCTCGCGACACAGCTGCGCCCAGCTGGAAAAGACGAACGGAATATGCCGCGAGCCAAAGATGCCGGAGCATATCCCGAGGTCGCGTCAGCCCTAATATGCCGGAGGCATATTCGCCCCTGCCGGCCGTTATCGTCGCGTCAGCCCTAATATGCCGGGGCATATTCGCCCATGGCCTGGAGGGCGACACATGTCAACTAAGTCAGAAGTGGAGATTTGGAATGGATCGATACATCGGTATTAGGTGTCGACTATTTATCAAGTCGTGTACGTCTGATCGAAGGTTGGCGGAGACGCCTCCTTTGGTTTTTTCGTTCCACATTGACGCCATAGTTATTAGGGGATGAGAAAAAAAGCTGGCAAGAGATTGATCTCATCACTCGCTATCGTTCACTCTTGGCGCTCTCAGGGTAGAGCCGTGAGGAGCTATCAAACAATTTGACAACACTCCCCAAGAGATAAAGAGGAAGAGTACACCCTCCGTACGCCCACCGTTTGGTTTTTTTTTCTCCTAGGCAGCTGCCACTGTGGCCCATTTGGAGTTAAACCCTCTCACACACAATTCATGTGTGGAGCCCCAAGCCCTAGAAGAGTCAAAACACATGGCTCCAGATAACTCCAACAAGTGACCCATGACACGGAACTTTCGCGGGTTCTTTCCTTGGCGGCAATAATTTCAAAAAAAATCGAAAGTTTTTCGAAAATTTGAAAACCTAAACCCTATCTGGCGCGCCATCGTTGATCCAGCGGCTCAGGTACGGGGAGTGTCGCCATTGTGGCGCGAGGGCCACCCCTCCAAAACCCCACATCCTTCTCTCTTTTTTTTTGCTCTCTCACTCGACGCGCGTGGTGGCGGCCTTTCCTTCGTCTCTGATCTGGCCCCTTTTCTTTTGTCTCATCCTTTTTCTCGTGTCGATCAATCCCGGGCCGTGCCAAATGTGCGGCAACGATTTCGTCCAAATGGAGCGATCGAGAGCTTGATCCTATAGGTGGCGCCCTGGAAGCCCAATGCCACGAAGAACAGAGAGCGCAAGCCCTGCCAAAATCGCGAAATCCCAAAAAGCTGGCGCAGCCACGCCAAAACCACGTAAGTTTCTGGAAAGGGCGACGGAGGAAGAAGGTCACCAGATCACAGCGCAGAGAAAATGGAATGGATTGGGATTGGACCACCCGAGTCGAGCGCAAGAAAACGAAAACATAAATATGAGCTAGAGTCGGCAACTTTGACGAGGCTCGCAACATCCTCCATCCTCGAGAATCTAGATGTTTCAAGCCAGGCTTTTGTTTGATTCGGGCAAGCATAGACGAAATCATAGCTTTTAGTGATTCGGAGAACAAAGAAGTTGGAACCACGAAAGAACAAGCCTCGCTGTGAGTGTTCCTGGCGATAGTGGACTGCCGTCGTGGCGAGGCTCGCGACGGAGATTCCCTCACACCCGGGATGGGAGATTCCTCGCAGTATAATGAAGATCCTTGCGTGCGATCCAAGCGACCCACGGAAACAACACGGACAAAAAAAACCCAAGACCCATCGAATCGGAGGAGTTCACATTGTCCACACCACCCAAGTGTTTAGCCTCTAATCTAATCCTCTCAAAAGAAAAAAAAAAAGTGATTTTGTCCGCTTAATTCGCATCTCCTTGTCAGTGTGGTCCCTAAACAAGCCCTACAATCCGATTCCAAATCCTGCTATGACTTGTAAAGCTCCAAAACAAAGAAAGAAGAGAGTTTTGGAGTGAATTCTATGTCATCAACTTAATCGTTTCTACCTATGGATTCATCCAGAGAACGATTGCTCTGCCGGTGCATCGGGTCCAGTACGTATGGACTCCCCCGCAAACCGTGATGACTATACAATCTATGATCTCCTCTTCGATCGATGGATCCCTCCTGGGCGATCGATTGAGGAGGAGGAGGAGGAGTAGCGGCCTACGTATGATCCAAGCCGAGAGGAGTAGAGAGAATGCACAGATATCTACAAAATGGTCGCGTGTCGATCGATCGGCCGGCTTGTAGAAAGACCCACCACCACCGTGTACGAGACGATCCCAGCGTGACGATCGATCGGTGACGAGACGACGAAGGAGTTTGGATCGCGAGTGGAGGCGATATCCAATCCGATCTTGCGGTGTGTGTGATGATCGTATGGTTGATCTTACGTGAGTGTGAGTGTAGACGTGAGTGTAGTGTCTAGTGTATGATCGTAGGCTTGGTGTGGAGTTCTTCTAGATGGCGCTCCCAAAGGGGGCTCTGTGAGGAGTCCCCTTTCGCCGCTTGGCGGTCCTGGTGGGCGGCGGTGTGGGCGGCGATAGCTCGGGCGAATTCACCGCCATGGGACTCCCCGGAGGCTTCTTGGATTTCACCACGCGCGCCGCCGCCGCCGCCTCTTCCATGCTCACGCTCGGCGAAGGCGATGGCGATGGCCGCCCCAGCTTGAGCGTCCCCAGGCTCCTCTGGATGGAGCTCGTGTCGTGATCGATGACTGGAATTTGCGGCCGAGAGGCGCTCTTGGCGATGGTATCCGCTAGATGATCCTCGTCTTCCTCCCGCGATCGCGAGCTCTGGCTCTGCTGCTGCTGCTGCTGCTGCTGCTGGTGATGATCGATGTGGTGCTCGCCCGCGGTTGTGCCGCTCTTGCGCGACGATCGCGTCCTCTTTCCTACAATCGTGCTCCCTCCGGAGCTCGTCTCCTCGGAGACGACGCTGCTCCTCGTGGGAACCGCCGGCGCTAGAGGGCTCTCGACGTGATCCACAGCCGCCATGGCGGTCGTGACGCTTCCTTGCTCGTGAGAAACCTCTTGTTCTTGGCCGTGATGATCATCGGAGACTTGCGGATGGTGATCCTCGAGAATTTGCTGCTGCTGCTGCTGTGGCGGCTGTGAATTCTTGGGCGGCAAGTGGAAGGTCATGTCATTGTGGCGTCGGATTCCGGTCAACTGGAAACGATCAAAGCAAAACTTTTAGTTGGAGATCGAGCAAAGCTTCTCGGTGGAATGGAAAGAAATCCGGTGTTTCTCTTACCTTGCAGCCGAGTGAGCAGTAGCGAAAGGTGTCGAGCAAGCTCCGGTCGCAAATCTCGCAAGTTTTGGTGACGCCCTTGGCGTGGCGGGGCTGCGGCCGCGCGTTTAGAAACACCACTCTCGCGCTGTTGATGATGTATGTTTGCACTCCTCCCAAATCCAAGACCTTTTGGAGCTCCGATACGCGGACAACGTCGTGGTAGGACGACCTCCGGATCTACACTCGCCAAATCGCACAGAAAGATTAGAACTTTAGCTCAAGAACAGTGGTTTTTTGAGTTGATCGATCGATTCTCACCTGGACAACGTGATGATCGCGGTGCTGTGGCGAGCAGCCCGAGCAAAGCGCCTCTCCTCGGCAATCCAGGCAGTAGAGATTGCACTCGTTACGGTTGCTGTCGCCATGGACCTCGCAAGTGTCGAAGAATTTGGTGGTGAGAAGAGGCCGCAGCCACAGCGGTCCAATTTGGTATCCGGGCTTCTGGGAAGAACAAAAGAGAGAAAAAAAATCGGTGAGATTCTCGGCCAGAGTGAAAAGAATTCTCGCTTTTACCAACATTCATCTACACTAAAGAAATCTACTCGGGGGAAACTTACCAATTTCTCCAATTTCGTGGGCAGGAGGAGCTCCGCGTTGTAAGTCTGGCGGTCGAAATTCACCACCATCGCTCCCAAGCTCGATTCTTCCTCCCGATCGATCGATGAGGTGCTACGATCGCACGCGAGAATCGCGTGGAAATTGGGTGCTCTGTTCTTCCCCTTGTGTGGCGGCGAATTTCCGGTCCCCGCGTAATGCACGTCAATGTAGCTCTCGCTCTCACAATCGCGAGCGCTGCGATCGCTCACGCCGCCCTGGCCGCCACCACCGACACGAAATGTGAGCTAATGCAGCATCGCCGGGGCCCAAATCCGCACTTGGGCGCTGCCAATTCGCCCCGAAATCGATCGAATTCTCGCGCTTCCTGCTCGTGGGCCGTCGCGGCGCGAGCGTTTCTGCCCAGCCAAGACGAAGATTTTCCCTCGACTGGGAGCAAAGGAAAAAGCAAACGCCTCGCGGCTCGCGAGAGAGTGGAGTGAAAAAAATCGGCTAAAAACTAGGCTTTGCTTCTCTCCACAATGAGGGAAGACCAAAGAGTAGAGGCGGCCCCCTTAGAGGCACAGCCTCTTTGGACCGCGCCAGGCGCATCCGACGGTCAAGGCGACGACACGTCGCTGGCCAAAGCAAAGGAGAAGATTCTCGCGCCTGCTGTCGTGGCGCCCGGCTATTGCGTCTCTCCCGGCTTCTCCGATGCCCGGCAACTTCGCAAGCCATAGCATGATCGAATCGGAGGGGCACGGGATTCCCACGTGGACGAATCGCGTGCGATGATGACGTGGTGTGCTGTCATCCCCGTGGCGGCGGGGGTTTGGTGAGGCAATGCTGCCGTGGCTTGCCACGACGGACGTTGATGTGGACGTGGCCAAGGTTATAAAGTCCAAGCTGGCGCGTGGACTGACTGGACTAGCGTTGACTCTCTACTTTTCATGTTTACTTCGAAGCTTCATGTCATAGCTTCCTTTTGCCGACTTTGAATGGTCGTATCACTATGAAGCTGCAGTGTAGCTTCATCGTGGAAGCTTTTTTTCTTGTGGGAAAAGAAAATACATTTCCCCAATCCTTGTGTATGTGAATCTCCACAAGCCGTCGTAGAAGATCCTACTTACAAGTTACATGCTTTTCCACGTCTCTCGTGTCTCCAAACTACGACAACGCACACACACACCTTTGTAGATAGATAAATAGATAACTGTTTATGAAGGTCATGGAGATAAAAACGAAAGAAAACAAGAGTAAAACGATGGCTTTGAATTTTACCCATCGCACAAAAAAATAAAGATTTGATCACATCGACTCCTCTCTCTCTCTGTGCTTGATTGATGTCAAGCAAGGATAGAAAGCGGCAATTTGTGCAAAGTTTAGACACGCAAGGATGATCGTTAGGTGTGTGACCACAAGGGATTCGCATTTCTTCTTTCTTTTATCTCGGCGGCCATGTCATTACGGAAATCCATGGGTGACACGGCACGACGACCACGGCAGCCAATCCCCGCCCTTGGCGCCTTTTACACGACACGTATTCCAGAGTTGACCCGGAAGCTACGAGGTCAGCCACGGTCAACCCCGCGTTCTAAGGAGCTTTCTAGGGCTGGCTTCGCCAAACAAACTACCACAAGTGAGGATTCATCTGGGTTTGGTAACGCTCTGGTTTAACAAGAAAAAGCTTTTGCTTTGTTGGTGAACTAACGGACAGCACAGGTTTGGTCGTCTATAACACTTGGCATTTTAAAAGGTCCACGTATATAACCAAAGGTATATTCGTATACTGTAGAAAGGAAGGGAATAAATCTAAATAATAAACTAGATTGCAACCAAGGATAAGATCAACAACGTGTTACTTATATCCTCCATGCAAAGCAAAGGAACAAAAAAAGAGACTGTGGTGGAGGAATTGGGGGTCCAGTGTGACATCACAAATCACGCCAACAATTGGCAATTTGGCGGGCGGATTTTAAGTGGAACTCTCTTCTGTGACTATGCTCTTCTGCATCTATCTATCTTTCTTTCTTTCTTTTTCTCACTCTCACTCATTCATGCATTTATTAGTATAATTTACAATAATAGCTGGGTAGATTGTTCCACAGGAAAATTTATTATTGATATAGAATAGTGTTTTTTGGAATTTTTTTTTGGATTTTTAGAGAGGTGGCGCCCTCTGAGGTAAACCTTTTCGTCGGCTGGGATTCCTTCTGTCAATGTTTGCGATAATGGGTGGAGGCGTTGGAGGCGACAAGCCGAGCAGTGTGGAGTCTGGAATTTTAGCGGCATTGATCCTGCTGCTGCTGCTGCTGCTGTCGGTGGCACTGGCACCATCAACTTTGCGATGATCCATGAAATCCTCGTATGCTTCGTGATCCAGTTGCTGTTGCTGTTGTTCTTGGTGTTGCTTTGGTTGTTGCTTGTTGCCACCATTCTTGTCTCGCTTGGGTTCCCGAGGCACGAATTTCTCGTTGAGATGGGTGATCCCCGCAAGCTAATCACAAATCCATGGCAAGCATTACGGAGAGCAAAGAAAGGAAGGCGAACCTTGCAAGCCAGGGAGCAAAAGCGGTAGCTTTGTGGCAGGCTCCGCTCGCAGATCTCGCAAGTCTTGAGCGATGGTTTCACGGGCTTGATCTGCGGCCTGTGGTGGAGAAACACGACGCGGGCGCTGTTGATCACGTAGGTTTGGACGCCGGTGATGTCCAGCACCTTGTGGATCTCCGAAACTCTAATCACATTGTGGTAGGACGAGCGTCTGATCTGGAAACAATGATCCAAAGTTATAGCTAGAAAAATTAAAACCAATTTTCTATGATGGTGATGATTTGATCAAAACGTGATCATCACCCACCATGATATAACTTGCCTGGAGCATACGGTGATTTCGATGGTCAATCGTGCACGGGCAGCAAATTGCCTGGCCGGGGCAATCCAGGCAGTAGAGATTGCACTCGTTGCGGCTCAAATGTGGGTGCTTTTGGCACGAGTGGAAGAAATTGGTGTGGAGGAGTGGCTTGAGCCATCGCAGGGGATCATCGCAATTCCGGGACATCCCAATTGTTTCTAAATCAAGCAATCGATCGATCGAATCTCCTACAATGGCCACATTGTCACCTAGATCGCAGCGAGATTGGCGCATACCTTTCAAGTCTCTGCTCGATCAATCAATGTGGATCGGAGGATCGAAGAAAACGAAGTCGCCTGAGTGTGAGAGCGCGCTCCTCTCTGCTCGATCGTGCAATGTGGGGAGGAATTGGAGTGGCGATTTTGGGGAATTAGGTGAAGTGGGGGTGTCAAGAGTGGAGAATTAGGCGAAACCAACCATCGCCATCCCCGCGATTTACCCTTCGTGCGACTGCGGCAAAATGTAGGAAGCTACCGCACCCGAAAATTCCATACCGCGATCGATCACTCACGATTTCGCGCGCCGAGGGAGAGTTCTAGTGCGGCGATAAAACCATGACGATTCCTGGCAAATCTAGGGCGCAAAAGAAGAGAAAGCCGTGGCTGCTACCGCCTCCTCCATCATTGGTGAGGAACGAGAGCACTGAGGAAGAGGGAGACGTACGGAATGTGACCGGCTGGAGCCGGTTTGCCCGCGGGAGAGATTCTCCATTTTCATGCCACGTCATGAGCTTTATGGACGGCGGCGGACCAGGTACTCTTTTGGCCGTGGGGCTGACGTGGCAAAAGCGACCCAAATAATTGGCCAGTGGAGGACCCTTTCAAAGTTATGAATTTGGGATTACAAGGCTTTAGAGGAAGAGAACTGGACGAGGTCTTTTCTCTTTGATTGTTTGACCCAAAGACAAATTTTTTTTAAAAAAAATTTAATTTTTTTTTTTTTTGTTTTTTGTTTTGGCGCTGAGAGATTGAGTGCTTGGTTCGTGCTGCTGGTCCCCCCGAAAGATTGGGCCTTTCCCCTTTTTTTAATTTGGCGAGAGAGCAAATGCGGTGTCGTAGCTATCAAAGCCAAAACGAACGAGAACAAAATTGGAAAAGCCGAGCGTACTACATTAGATTGCGAGCTAAACTACACGCAAGAACGACGAGCCATCCAATTCCAGGCTCCAAAAGTGGCAAAGGATCGCATATAGATATAATACTTTGGGGAAGTGGAAGCTCCTAGCCCCCTTGGGCTGGAAATCTGGAAAGGGAGAATCTCTAGAGAGGAGCTAAAGCTGTGAGAAGCCTTTGCACGTACGGGAAAGAAGAATTGGAGGCTGGGAGATGAGCTAGGTATCGCTATTGCAAACATGACTCACTCTGATCATGAGCAGCGATCAAGAGCCACATTGTGGAGTTCTCATTCCATCTCCAATTCGTCACAGCAAATGGTTTGGGACCAGATTACCATAAGCTTGGTCGATTCCCTGGCAATCTGCCCTTAAGCCATGGATCATCGGTGTTGGAGATGAAAGGTTTGCTCTTTGACACGTGGCAGACACGTAAGCGCCACGTAGGCAATAAAAGTTTTTAGGGCTTTGGCCGTCATGAGCCCTAATCCAGGGAGAGGGGAGAGCGCGCGATGGCGGATCGCAACTACACTGTCCGCACGCGCAAGTTCATGACGAATCGTCTCCTCCTTCGCAGGCAATTTGTAAGTGCCGATCGTCAGTTTTTCGAGCTGATTTAACACGGTTGAGCAGGTCGTGGAGGTTCTTCATCCGGGGCGAGCCAATGTTTCCAAGGTGGGATGGATTTGTAGATTGTTTTCGAGCCTAGGCTAAGAGAATGTGGGTTGTGGATCGGTCGGACAGGCTGAGCTCCGGGAGAAGCTGGCCAAGGTTTACGAGGTCCGTGATCCCCAGGCGGTGTTCGTGTTTGGGATGAGAACCAAGTTTGGCGGCGGAAAGTCGTCGGGATTCGGTCTCATCTACGACTCGGTCGAGGCTGCCAAGAAGTTCGAGCCCAAGTATCGGCTTGTCAGGGTGAGTGAAGTGAGCTCATGGTTTCTCGACTTGCGCTCTAACTCTGGAAGCTTTTCCCCTTGCATCTTTTGCAGAACGGACTTGCAACCAGGGAGCAGAAGTCGAGGAAGCAGCTCAAGGAGAGGAAGAACAGGGCCAAGAAGATCCGCGGAGTGAAGAAGGTCTGCTCTCTCTCTCTCTCTCTCTCTCTCTCTCTCCATTGATGTGCTTGCTTGCTCCCATTCAGGTCAAGGCTTCTGGAGAGGCTCAAAAGGCAGGAAAGAAGAAGTGATGTGATTTCCAGGTAGTTTTCTTGAAATTAACCGGGCTTAGCGCGAGGCTTTCTAAGTCAAAAGAAGAAGTGTCGAGATCAAATGTATTTTCTCTCTCTCGCTTTCTTTCCAAGCGTCAAGCGTCTCGTGGTGTGTATTTACTTTCCAAGCGTCAAGCGGCTCATGGTCTATGAGTTTTTCGCTGCGTCAAAGGTTATGGATACAAGAGCGGAGATAATTCGTGAAGAACTTCAAGGTTGAAAAGATTTGGATCCAAAGAAGCAAGACCACCTTTTCTTTGTGTGATCGTGTCTTTCGACTGTCGTGACAATGTATAACATGCGACAACAAAGAGGAAAGCAATTCTGACAGTGATTTCAATAGGATTTTAGAGAAACCTGCCGGGAGAATGTTCCTGAAAGTTTACATTGAAAATATCTTAATCGATTTCGGACCATAGGTTTTTATAGAAAGGTGGGATGGATAGATTTAGCACCAAGCCTTTGTATAAATCCTGAGAAATTCTAAACGTAAAACATCTTTCATTTGATCAATCAATTTTCTAATGGCAACTTCAGTGGTGTCTTCCTTGGTATTTTTCTCCTTGTTGGCTCAAGTTTCTGTGGGTTTGCTGGTACAGTACGGTTCCACCACGGTCGGGAATGGCAATTTCATCCCCTTGAGCAGTACTGACGCGGCCCCCACTGTTGATATCCAAGGATTTGGGAAGAATGGCACTGCTCGTCTTTTCTCGGTGGTCATGGCGGATCAAAAGGCACTGGTAGCACCAAACAAAGTTTACCCCTACATCAACTTCTGGATCGCAAACATCCCAGCGGGTAGCACTGGTAAGTGTAGAACAAGACTAAGACAAATCTATTGATCATGGCTTGGCTTTGCAGGAGCTGTGAAGAGCAGCATTTTGGAGCCTTATGTTGCTCCTTCCAATACCAGCAAGAACATCCCATACCAAAATCCATTCAGTGCAAAGAACCATACTTACGATTTTGTGCTAGTCCCGCAGAGGAATCCCTTGGTGAAGCCCATGGATAGTCGAATTGTCAACTCGCTGGCGGATATAATTCAGCAGTACCATTGTGGAAGCCCTCTCCAGACTGTCTCCTTCACCACCTCGCTCGCTTGATGTCATTCACTAAAAAGTTGATATTTATCAACTTAACTTAATGAAATATAATACTTTTCTGTTATATAGATCGATCAAAGAATTAAAACGTGTTCTTCAGTCTCCTGCGATTATGTTGATCATGAAAGATGAATCATGAAGCAAACATCCAGCTTCAAACTTCCAAAAATGGGCGTGGTGCGATGTTCTTGTTGATCACAGCGCGCATTCCATGAGTTGCAATCATGCACAAGGTTTCGATGCGTGTGCTCCTTGAATCAGGCATGCATGATACGACTGATCCGCCAGTAAGTGTGAAATTTGTCTCCCTCGACACTTTGTATCACTTGAAATGTCCATGGATTCCAAATTCACACCTCTTGCTGACCACCTGTTTTTTATGCTCGTACCTTCGCAAAACAACATAGCAATAGTTCAAGAAAAACAAATGAAAGAAAAAGGACATAGACGTACCGCATACGAGAAGGGACTACGTCCATCCAATTCCAGGCTCCAAATGTTGCCATTCTTGTCGAGAATTCTATGGCCCGGCCCAGGAGAGACTCTTCCCGTTTAGCCTACAGCTCCTCGTAGTATATACACGCGTTACGTAAAAAGAGGAATGGAGCGAGAGAATGCCTATTATGCAGGTGCCCTGGACCTTGCGCGATTGATAGCTTGCCTGTAAAGCTCGATGTACTGATCAGCGGAGGAGTCCCAGCTAAAGTCTAGCCGCATTGTCTTCTTCACAAGCTGTTGCCACCACCCGGGCTTTTCCAAGTAGTACTTGATTGCACGATCTAGTGCGTAGTTCAATCCCTGCGATGCAAACAATGGTTTATGGAAAAAATATTTCAGAAAACAGCTAGTTGTACCTGAATTTCGGCCGCCGAGAAGCTAAATCCATTGCGTTTTTCTTCCGGAATCGTCGTGTCATCGACGTCAAAGACACTGCACAGCACGTAGGACAGCGTCAAGCAGCTCGTCATCATGCATTTGAAGGAGAAAAGAACAAAGAGAAAAGAAAGACCTGTCATTTAGACCGCCTGTTCTACGTACTACTGGGATGGACCCATATCTCATGGCAATCATCTGCGCGACAAGGAAAGGATCTTCTTAGTTTGACAAGTGAGAATAGCTACTTGCCTGAGTCAGTCCACATGGTTCAAACACCGATGGAATGACGAAAATGTCCGAAGCCGCGTAGATTGAATGTGCCAAAGGCTCGTCGTACTTTAGCAACAACCGCACATCCGAATGGCCTTCAAACTTGTAAGAAAGTTCTTCAAATTCACGCTGTAGTTAAGTAAAATGTCAGGAACTGAAAAGATGAAAAGAAAGTCACTCGAACGCACCTGAATTTCAGGAACAGGACTAGACCCCAGCAGAACAAATTGTCCACCTTTTTCTGCAGTGTGATATATTGCATGTCTTATCAAATGTACGCCTTTCTGGGGTACAAGCCTAGTGATGCATCCTATCTGAAATCCTGGTCTTAAAATCTCACAAAACAAGAATAGAAAAAAACTTACCAAGGGCCGTTTTTTGTCGACATTTAGTCTCAATTGAGATTGAAGAGAAGCCTTGTTGGCTGCTTTGCCACTCAAATCTTCTGCACTGTATTGGTGCTGCAGTATAGGATCATATGAAGGATCCCAGGCTTCAACATCAATTCCATTCAAAATTCCATAGAACTTGTTTGAATGTACAGAGAGTGCGACTTGCAGTCCTCGGCCGGCCTGCACAACAAAGTCGTCAAGTCAAGTCATACGTAGTGATTAATTCTATTCTCAGTGAGTCAGATGTGTACCTCCGGCGCTCTGACTTCTTGAGCATAAGTTGGAGAAACGGTCGTGACAATGTTTGAGAAAACGATACCTCCCTGAGAATAAAACATGAGAAAAACAGGAGGACTGTAAAAATACCACCTTCAACAGGTTCACTCTATCATGCATGAAACTGTCCTGCATTCGATCCTGTCTGAATTGCTGCTGCACGTTCAAGCCAAAGGCAGCCAAAGCTGCAGGAGATTCCGTGCCTTGATACTCAAAATTGTGGCATGTGAATGCCAACCGAGCTGAATTCAATCCTAAAGGAACATAAATGTCCCAATATAATGGTGCCTGAAATGTGAAGTTAGTCCGAAACCAAGTTACATAAGAGTAAAATACATACTACTGCTGCAGAAGTCCAGTCATGGCTGTGGATTATGTCAGGCCTTTTGTTGCTTTGCAGAAGAAACTCTAAAGCAGCACGGCAGAAATACGTAAACCTCCTAAAGTCGTCTCTTTCACCATAGACGGTGCGCCTCGTGAAGAAATTTGCCGGATGAAAGGGCTCAATAAAATAAACAGGGAGACCTGCAAGCGCAAATTGCTCAAGCGTAACAAGTATGACGAGATTCTGGTCACCTTCAACAGTGCCCAGCCAAACTTTGTTTTTGAAAGTTTGGTTGTCGAAAAACGATAAAAGCTCCATATCTAGAACCTATCAAGTAGAGATGGCTGAGGGACCGGTAGAAAAAATCAATACCTTCAAGTTTTTTATGCGATCGTAATCCATGCAGTCGTATTTGGGAAGGATGATCTCAACCAAGTGGTCTTTCCTTTGCAAGGATCGGCTTAAACCAGTCACAACATCCCCCAGGCCACCAACCTGGTAATATCAAGATATCCATCAGACGCTTATACAACCACAATTTTACCTTCGCAACTGGTGCCATTTCTGCTGCGATGTGAACAACGTACAGTCCCGGTCTGTGAGTGAAGAATGCAAGAATGAAAAGGAAGCACTCTCATTCCAGACACTAACCTCTTTCGATCGTTGACAAGCTTCAAGAGACCAGACATGATCTCCTCGTTGCTCTTTTCCTGCAGCTGGACAAATGCATCTCGAAGTCGTGCATCTCTGCGCCATGCCATTAGCCTTAGTTCCTCGCCATCCTCAACAGTGATAACTTTGTCCAGCATCCACGCATCTATACGAAGATGTATACCCGTCCAGAAATCCCATGGCATTTCTCCTGCTGGAACCTGTAATATCCCCGACTTCTTTTCTGATTTCAGACGCTCAAGCCTGGCCTGAAAGCCTTCCACCTCCGCTTGATAAGTTTGCAGCTGTGTTCGTATTTCGGCATCCGATTCCAGTAGCCGGTGCTGTAACAGCTGAACCTGTTCCTTGAGAGCTTTCTTGTCAGCTTGAGCGTGTTCTAGAAGTATTTTCTGACTCTCGGCCTGAGCCAATTGCACTAGCAGCTTCTTGACCTGTTCTTGTAGCATGCGGTTCTCCAAAAGTAGCCTATCGTTTGTGCTTCCAACAGCTTCCGAGCCAGTCGTCGTAGGAGAAAGCTTTTGCTCGGACAGTTTGAATGCTTCTGTAGCTGATAGCTCGGCAACTTGAAGCTCCATTTGCAGCTTACGAATATTTTCCTTGAGTGTATCGTTTTCAGCCTTTGCGTTCTCGAGGTCCGTAAGGGACACCGTGTTCTCTTCCAGCCTCGACTCTAACGACTGGAGCCTGTCTTGAAGCTCTGTTTTATCAGTTCGTAGTTGTTTCAGCAGCTCATCCTTGCTTCTCAGATCGGCAAGACTTGATTTCAGTGATTCCACCTCCTCCTCAAATTTAGTACCTTTGATACTAGAGCTTTTGGTTGTCAGGGCCTGTTGTTGCGAGTCCTCTTTCTCCTTCAGCTTCTTTTGCAGGATTTGCACCTCGTCCTGGAGCATTTCATTCTTTAATTTCTCTTGCTCGGCCAGCTTTATCTTTGCACTTGACTCGGCCAGCCTCGTCCGCAACACCTCTACTTCTGCTCGCAAGCTATCCTTCTCCCGGCGAGATTCCTGGAGGTCTTTGAGCGCTCGAGCTCGGACCTGGTTCAAGAGTAGAATATCTTCAACCAGAACATTTCAATCAGGACGTGAACACGATCGAAAACTCAAGGCCTGGGCTATGGTTAAGGACAGTACCCACTTTTTTCGGCTTCTCTGATCATTAGCAGCAGGTCTTCAATGCTAACACTGAAGGACCGCTTCTCTTCCACGTCCAGACTTTCCTCAGTCTATACAAAAAGAAGGAAGAAAAGAACGTATGAGAAAGTTGGTATTTCAAACTGCTGCTATGGAGAACCTTGGAGTCCTTCGATGGAAAGAATGGACCGTTTGCCAGCATTTGGACATTCTTCTCTCCCTCGGAGCCCTCATCTCTCGCCTCTTCCGATGGAAAATCCTCGGCATCAACCGCGAGACGCTCTCGAGCGCTCTTCTCCGCTTGTAATCTTTTCCTGCGAGGTAGCGAGTCAGAGAAGAGAAAGAAGAAAAGCGAGAAAGAAGGCTCTACAAGGATTTCGATGGATAATACCTTAGATTCTTGTGGCGCAGCCGGCAGGACGTGAAAACGAGCCTCGGGCATGGATTGCAATGGCCGATCCAGGAGTCGCCGTGCAGCTTCCTCAAGCTGGCGATGGAGCTGAGCGATCGCGCCGCCGCGACGGTAATCATCCCCCCGGTGGTGAGCGCCATCTCTGTGCTCATCCAGCGAGAATTTGGGGCGGCATTGGCGATCATCGCCCCGCCTCCGCCATAGCCACAGCGAGCCAACCACAGAGTCACGCTTAGGGATTTCGATAAAAAAGAATCGCTAAACTATACCGTACTACAATAGTCACAGCATTCCGTACAATGGAAGTTTGTGAAATACTAAAACACTGTTCTTTCAGCATCATCATCATCATCATCCTATAGACAAGGTGGTGTTTTTGTGATGGTACAAAAGCATCAATTTTTACATGCTCGCGGCTCTTTCGAGCTCCAATTCTTCCTCCGCCTGAGAAGAGATTTCCAAAAGAGAATGAGGACGATCGGAAGTAGCAAACTCTAGAATGCTTTACCTGTGTCTCCAAGTATCGCACAAACGCGCCGTCTCCACGCAAGATCTTGGCACCCGAGCCGCTGTTCTCGGGAGTTCCTACTGATGCTTCGTCGATCACCACGGCGTCAATGCGCTCAATCGCGCTCTGGGACTCCGGGATCTGGAGAATAGCTAAAAAGTGAGGAGCAGAGAAAAGAGAGAACGTTAAACGCACCTCAAACATGGCATCGGTGAGGATCTGTTCCATGAGGGAACGTAGGCCACGAGCACCTGTGTTCTTGGCCATTGCTTTCTGAGCAATCTTTCGCAGTGCACCATCCGTGTAATGTAGTCGCGCCTGAAAGAAGAATCCATCACCGTGTAGAGAAGTTTTGCAAAGAAAGCACGGTGTACTTACGTTGTTCATTGCAAACATTTTCTTATACTGCTTCCCAAGAGCGTTCTTCGGCTCCACTAGAACCTGAAAAGCAAGGCCGTCCGTCAGAACTTGTTTTCTGTTGTAGAAGTCAAGTTACCTGCACAAGCTCGTCTTCTGACAACGCTGCGAGACTTACAAGAACAGGAAACCTCCCAACGAATTCCGGAATTAATCCGTATGCTATAAGATCGCTACTCTCAACCTGTGTAGAGCACCGGTCAGATTGCGTAAGAACGTTAGTTTAGCACCTTCTCAAGAAGTGACGATGTTACAGCCGCACTAGAAGGGCCACCAGCCCTCATATTTGCTCGGACAGGTGCTCCAAAACCTATCGACGAGTCCTGTCTCCTGAAAACAATCTCATTGTGAGCCGATGTTCAAGTTTTCGAAAGATAAACCTCTCAGAAACTGTCTTTTCCAGATCAACGAAAGCTCCTCCACATATGAACAAAATATCTTTCGTATCCACCTAAAAACAAGACAGATTGTAACGGTTATTCACTCAAAAATAGACGACCGCACTTGCCTGGATATGATCCCCGCGAGGATGCTTTCTAGCACCTTTCTCGGGTACATTGACAATCTGCAGGATAATCACACTAAGCTGGCAGTGGAACAGCAGAACTAACCGTTCCTTCAAGCATCTTCAACAGAGCTTGCTGAACGCCTTCGCCGGAAACGTCCCTACTTATGTTGAGACTCTCCGCCTGTGACGACAAAAGGAAAAAAATTTGTCAAAACCAAATTTGACCGGGCAGAAAAGCAGTACCTTTTTCGTTATTTTATCAACTTCATCGATATATACAATGCCCTGCTGAGCTGCTGGAACATTAAATTCCGCAGCCTGGTAGAAAAAAGAAACCAACATCTGAAGCTACAAGAAATAAAAAGTAATGTACCATCAAAAGTTTGTAGAGAATCGACTCCACATCCTCCCCGACATATCCTGCCTGCACACAGAATTATTATTTCACGAACCGGGAGAGAAAAAAAAGTCCACACCTGCGTTAGAGTGGTTGCGTCCGCAATAACAAAAGGAACATTTACAAATCGTGCAAGGGTCTTAGCCAACAGCGTTTTTCCTGATCACGACAAAGAGAGGGGTGATCAAGTTACCAAACAATTTAGCAAGAACACTCAACCTCACCTGATCCTGTAGGACCCATGAGAAGAACGTTGCTCTTCTCAAGCTCCACATCGCTGTCATCTCCTTCATCGTCGCTGCCAACAAGTTGGTCCAGTCAGTGCTCAGAGGATCACAATCATGAAAGAAAAAGCAAAAAACGGAAAAGAAAAAAGAAAGAAAAACAAAAATCAAACAAATATCTACCCTTCAGACTTGTAGTTATTCTTCTTCGTCGTCTCGTAGTAAATCCGCTTGTAGTGATTGTATACTGCAACCGAGAGCACCTACAAATACAAAAACCAACGCAGCCATTAGCGACGTCTCGAAGCGGCCGAAACAATAAATAAGAAAGATCTCAATAGCTCACCTTCTTGGCACGTCCCTGGCCGATGACATACTTGTCAAGAGCATCACAAATCTCCTTCGGCGTGGGTAATTCCTTACCCAAGTTCGAGCCACCCCAAGTGTCCTTCACACCGTACGAACCACTCCCTCCAGATCCTCCTCCCGATCCAAGCTGCGCTCTCACCAAGTTGGTATTGGGAGGATACGGCGGGCACGGTGGCTGAGACATCGCTACCACCGGAGGCAAATTCACTCCAGCGCCCTGCTGCCAATGCTGTGGATTGTCTCCATACCTCCTCGACCCTTCACCACTTGCTCTATCAAAATCAAACGGTCCTCCTCCAGTAGCCTGGCTCTCACTTAGAACCAAAGACTTGCCCCGCCTCGGGAACTTGTTCTCCAGATCCTTGAGTACGTAGCATGGCACCGGGAGCGACCAGTATGCTCCACAGTTCGGGCAGCAGCACATAGACTCGGCCACTTTGGACGAATCCTTGCCGGTTCCTCCTCCCTGTTGCAAGCTGCCCGATATAAACACCGGCAAGCTCGACGTAAAAGTGAGCGTCAAACCGGTCAGGCAAGTCGGGCACCGAGAAGAGGCCCTGAAGCTCCAACACCGCTCGCCCTCCTGCTCGACCAGCGAATTTTGCCTCTTCTTATCCACAGCATCGCTGACAGGAGTGGAGGATGGCGGCGATGGGGGTGTCACCGTTTTCTTCCTGCCTCCTTTGGGCAATCCCATGGCGCCCCCGGGATTTAACTCGTCGCCCTTGTGCGTCGTCGATACCGCGGGAGTGGTGTGGAGCCAGGCTGAATTGGAGAGCCCGAATGGATTGCCGAAGAGCGCCGGGCTCGCGGCGGCATTGCATGATACGGATTGATAGGCGCCCGATTCTCGAGAAATGCTGGCATCGGGTCTCGAGACGTACACCAGAGCGAACCTGGCGGCCGCAATATCGCTCAGCTTCCTCCACCGCGTCAGAGATCCCGCCATAGCACTTCTCGAGCTGCCCGGACAAACCCTACGTGCGCATTCTCGGCTGGGAACAGAAAATCCGTGAAATTCTGGATCCCGATGGAGCTGCCAATCGGGGAGGGAAGAATTTCGAGCGAAATGGATCTAGAGCCCCGATCTTGACGAGAAACTGGCCGAATTCCTAGATTTTCCTGGCGGCATCGATCAAATACCCCACCTGGCCATCGCCGCGACAAGATTTGAGACGACGCGCCAACGCTCCAAGACGCCGATGGGGATCTAATAATCCAGCCCTCACAAGAAAACTCCTCTCTTTCTCCTCCTAGCCCAAGAGAGAATATTCAGTCAGTGAAAATGGGTATATTCACCGCCGTTCAGTTCATGCATGTCTTGGCCACCGGCACCAGGCAGTCATCCGGTAAATCACCTTGTCTATTCACCGTTTTACCAGCGCTCGATCTTATCCACATACCGGCTGCCGCCGGTGTTTTGCGGCCAGCTCCGAGTCTCCGCCATGTGGCTCATTGGCCACTGTACATACGATTAAAAGATAATGGCGTGGTTGGTACATGGTTTCCAAAGGATATGAATGTTCCAAATGATTTTCTTGCGCCATACTCCATGCCCGATGGCCACATTTTCCGTGCGTACGGAGATTTGACCAGCGTTTACTTTCCATTCCAGTGGAGAAATCTCCGCCTCGAGCTGCTGGCCGTCGGATGCGCTCCTCCCATCGTGGCCGCCCACATCGTCACAATAAAATTAGTGTGGAACCAAAGAAGGGTTCCGCCATAGCCGATCGGGGAGGAGGACAAGGGCGCCGCGCCGATGCTCGTCGCCGCCACTGCCGCTGCCGCCGCGCCGATCTCGATCTCCACCGCCTCGCCGCCGCCGCTGCCGCCGCCGCTGGAGCACAGGATTTCACAGCCGGAGCAATCCCCGGATCGATCATGTTCTCCCCGGAGCGGCAGCAGCAGCGGCAGCAGTGAATCGAGGGAAATCTCACGAGCACAGGCAAGTGTGTGGGCTTTGCGACTGCTAGATGCGTAGGCCGGTGGCGCGAGGAAGGGAAATCTCGAGCAAGAAGGGGTTTTTGGGCAGCACATCCTAAAGAAGGGTTTTTGCTTGCTACCACCAGGCAGTCCAGACATGGTCAACATAAAGCTCAAGCAATTAATTCGCAAGCCGTCGTCCAGGAATGATAGCAGCATTGAGTCCTCGATTGGCGCTCCAGCTCCTCATCCAGGCGGCATAATGCCGGGCTCTACCAGTGTTCCTTCCAATCCTGGCTCTCGATCTTCGTCTTCCTCCTCCGGGCCGGTGAATGGGCTCCTCCCACTGACCAACTTTGAGCCGCTGCCGCTCTTCCGCGACGTTCCCAGCTCCGAGAAGCAATCGCTCTTCGTCAAGAAGCTACATTTGTGCTGCTGCGTGTTCGATTTCACTGACCCCTCCAAGCACACGCGAGAAAAGGAGATCAAGCGGCAGACACTCCTGGAGCTCGTCGACTACGTCACCTCGGGGTCGGGCAAGTTCACCGAGAACGTCCTCGAGGACATGACCAAGATGGTGTCGGCCAACTTGTTCCGGAGCCTGCCACCCTCGTCCCGCGAGAACAGTGCCGTGTCCGAGAGCTTTGACGAGGACGAGGAGCCGGTCATGGACCCGGCATGGCCGCATTTGCAGATCGTCTACGAGTTCTTACTCCGCCTGGTGGTGTCCACCGAGACCGACGCCAAGGTCGCCAAGCGCTACATCGACCACTTCTTCGTGCTGCGGCTGCTGGATCTCTTCGACTCGGAGGACCCCCGAGAGAGAGAGTACCTCAAGACCATCTTGCATCGGATCTACGGCAAGTTCATGGTCCACCGCCCCTTCATCCGCAAGGCCATCAACAACATCTTCTACCGGTTCATCTTCGAGACGGAGAAGCACAACGGCATCGCGGAGATGCTGGAGATCCTGGGCAGCATCATCAACGGGTTCGCGCTGCCGCTCAAGGAAGAGCACAAGCTGTTCCTGGTGCGAGCTCTGGTGCCGCTGCACAAGCCAAAGTGCGTGGCCATGTACCACCAGCAGCTGTCGTACTGCATAACGCAGTTCGTGGAGAAGGACTGCAAGCTCGCGGACACGGTCATAAGAGGGCTGCTCAAGTACTGGCCTGTCACCAACAGCCAAAAGGAAGTCCTCTTCTTGAATGAGCTGGAGGAGGTACTGGAGGCGACGCAGGCGTCAGAGTTTGAGCGCTGCATGGTTCCCCTGTTCCGACAGATTGCCCGCTGCCTTAATAGCTCCCACTTCCAGGTAGGCATTCTCGTCTTTAAAGTTATTCTTCCTTGCCTTTGACTCTCTTTTCCGGTTTTTTTTCTTTCCCCAGGTAGCGGAACGAGCACTCTTTTTGTGGAACAACGATCACGTCGTGAGCTTGGTGGCACAGAACCGGCAGACGATACTGCCACTGATCTTCAGTGCGCTGGAGATGAACAACCGGAACCACTGGAACCAGGCGGTGCACGGGCTGACTTGCAACGTCCGCAAGATGTTCTCGGAGATGGACCCGGAGCTGTTCCAGGAGTGCCAGCGGAAGTTCCAGGAGGACGAGGAGAAGTCCAAGGGGATCGAGGAGAAGCGCGAGATAACGTGGAAGCGGCTCGAGGCGGCGGCGGCCACCAAGGCCGTGAGCTCCGAGGCCGTGCTGGTGATGGGAATGGCACCGTCGTTTAACCAGCAGAGAACCATGGTAGGCGTCTAGAAGATCGAGCCCAGCGTTCCCTGTTCTTGTTGGAGGATCTATCTCCACTGACCGGCTGCCCTGTAAATCGCCACCAATCCAGAGAACCAGTCCCGGTGTACACAAAAACCAGTAAGTTCGTCCGAGAGAACCGGTCGGTGTCGATGAACCAGAGCTTGAGAAGAATACTGCGGCTGGAGTTGTTTGAATATTTACTCCTGTTTATTGGTTGTTCTGTGTGTGTTTGTAGAAAACAACGCTCTCCCCTTTCTATACGAACCATCCTCTTTCTATACGAGCCACTGCTTTGCCGGAAAATTCTTTCTCTGTGCATTATTTTCTTCGGGAAAAAGCAGCAGCCATTTTGTTAGAAATGAGCTGCGAACTTACAAAAGAATACCTTGATCCGTATTTACAGCACAGGTGCCAGGTTGATGGAAGGATGGAGAACAAAACTTGGTCGGTCGATCGATCTGTTTGTTTTTCTTTTTTTTTTCTTGGACTACTGGATGTTGCACTCCTGCAAGTAAGGATGATCATACTTCACGTACCTCGACCAGTAACCTTTGAATCTCGAGAGTCCAATTTCTAGCCAAGGTTTAAGGTTCCCATTGTAGTGGACAACGGCGGCAGCGTCGATCTCCTCGGGATCCACACCGGGGTTGTAACCGAGTCCCAGGACGTGCCAGGATTTGTCGAGCGGGTACGTGAGGTTGTAGAAGGTGATGAGTCCCGGAGGCAAGGTTCCCAGCTTCCAGAGTGTCCTATCCTTGTTCTGCAAGAGAAAGAGCTTAGCCACATCGTTTTAGACTTTCCAGAAAACGCTTACCATCGTTTGCCACTTGTGGTAGATTCCTGTGATGTCGCGCTTCTTCCACTCCTCCAGGTCGAAGATGTTCATCCCGTAGGCCCAGCCACACGCGTTTGGATCGAAGTTCCTTGCGATGTGAGGATTGGAGAAATTAAGATACTTGTCGAATCGATGGAAGCTGGCTCCACAAGTCTCCACTGCACCGTTCACCTTGCCATGGAGGTCCACGGACCACAGCGGAGTCAGGTCCTTTTGCACAACGATGTCGTCGTCCAGGAACAGGATCTTGCTCAGTCTCGGGAACACCTCCGGGAGATAGAACCTGAGATGGTTGAGCATCGACAGGTACTTGGGGTTGCGGTACTTCAGATTGGACGTCCCAGAAGTTACGCTCGTTGTCTGGTCCGGTTTGAAGTAGTAGTCCTTCATCGCTGCAGATTCCAGTTGCCGTAGGACGGGACAGTAGGAAGAATTGAGCCACGTAAAGTCGTCGATATTTTGGACGTGAATGGTGGCGTTGCCCGGGGGATTGTCCAGAAACCACATCTTCATGGCCCCAAAATTTAGGCGGTCTGTAACCAGATGAAACACATGCTTGTCGGGTTCCTGCACGAACCAAGACACATAGGTCACATGTCTTTACAACTCCTGAAAAGTAAATGTACGTACCTCGGCGTGGAGGACAGTGGAATTGACCACCACTGCTGCTGCAAGGACGTTGTCCGAGAAGAGCGCATAGTGATACAAGTCGTCGTCCTCGAGCTTTTCCCGGTTCGGGAACTGACGCTCATCTGGGGGCAGTACATGATACTGTACGTTGAGGCGCAGCGAAAGGCAATGCAGGCCTTTCGGCATGGTCTTGGCAGCAAGCTGGCTCAAGAACGCACTTTGCTTCCTGAGTGAGCGCGCGTAATCTTCAGCTCCATGCAGCATTGCTCGCAAACCTTTGACTAGAGAGTTACAGTCGTAATTCTGCTGCCTTGCCTTGGCCAAAACCTGTCCCATGGCACGGATTTTATCGGGAGCACTGCAAGATAGAGACGCTAAGTTCCACTCGTAAGGTACTGCAAGGAAGAAATATTACCTCCGTGGTAGCTCAGCATCAATGGTTGCGTCACCCACGACACGCTCGCTGTCTCTGAGACGGATTCTCAGATCGCGAAGAAGCCTCTGATTGTTGCGAGCCTGAGCAACCCCAATGTATGCTCTGGCCATAATCACTTGATCGCGAATCAATCTGACCAGGGAGTCTGAGTTTTCGTTTTCATCCCGCCTCCAAATGCTGTACTTGCCGAGTATCGCCCCATCCACAGCTTTGGAGCGTTTGATAGCTTCCTCTTCCAGCCGTGCCTTTTCTCCTTCATCCTGCTGGAGAAGCTCTGTCAGCCTTTTCTCATGCCTACGCAGTCTCAGTTGCTGCAAATCGAAAAATAAAGTGTGCATTTCAACATGCAACCGATATGCAAACATTGTCAATCTGCGTAGACTTTGGGAGCTTACCTTTCGGATCTCAGCAGCTGGATCGGTCTTTACTTGAGAACTCTCGTCGGCAGTAGCGACAGTGGTATTCACATCTTCTCCATGAGGCAGGTTTGGATTCACCACAACCGTTCCCTGGTCCTCAGCTTCCGCAGTTTTAACATCCTCAACAACGTTCTCCTGAACAAAAATAGCAATAGAATTTTACAAGCTGTAGGTGGCATCGCCTATTTATTTACCTTCTTCGCGACCTCTTTCTCCGAATTCTCACGTACTAACGAGGACGAGTGAGATACCTCGGAGTTTGCTATTATAACGTCGAGTACCTACATGCACAAAGAAAAAAGGGAGTCTCTTGCCATAAGAATCTCTTGCCGAACTCCTCACAACCAAAAGACTTAAAACTTACTTGATCCGCCACAGTGGCTTTCTGCCCGTTACGCGAGTCATCCTGGAAGTCGAGAATTAAAACACGGAACAAATCTATAAAGCCAAACTCACATTGCTGGTTTGCGGCAATTCGCCCTTCCCTGTGTAGTTAAGTTAAAACCCCACGATAAGCAAAAAGAAAAAGATCTCACCAAACGAAGTGCTGAAGATCGCGATTCTTGGCGCAAGGAAAATGAGTGGAGCGATCATAGAAACTGCAAGAAGCACCCCCACAGAGATCCGGAACTTATCATTTCTCACGCGATGCTGGGGACCTGCCGCTGGTCCTCTTTTGGATCGCATGGTAGTCACTACATGTGTGATCTCCTCCTTTCACCGGCGCTGCTGGAGCTAGATCCAGTGATCACGAACCCTAGCCTGGAACAGTAGGGGCCTCTTCCCTCTCTCGCCGGAGACAATGTCCCCGAAATACCCCCGACGAGGATCAATACCGAGAATGCTGCTGCGCAAGAAGATCCAGGCCACGGCTGTGCGCAATCTGGCGCTGGGGAATGCCGATTCCGAGCGGGGAGAGAGGCTGGGCTGCAAATCTTGGCGAAGACGAGGAAGAACCAGCAATGTGGAGCTCCCGGCACCGCCGCAGCCAGCGCGGCGTCACACCTTTGCCCTAAGAAGCGCCATGGCTGTGCCCCCAGCTTCGAGCCTGACGAAGAAATTTCCACGCCCAGAGAAAAATGCAGGTACGTGTGGGAGAATATTCTCTTAGTCAGTGCACGAATCTGTTATTTACATTTTCTCCAAACTAGGTACTTTTCTTACTAAGCAAAATACGTTGTGTAACCTGATCTTGCGAACGGTCCAGATGCAAACTAAATGTGCTTCAAGACTAGCATTATATGGGTATATTCATTTTCTTATTTTTATTATGTGGCTGAATGTTGCTATGTGAGTGCTATTAACTAGCCCAAAAACCTTAATTTATATACAAAAGTGAGTAGTTCAGATTAAAATCAATTCAATAGTTATCAAAATTCTATTACATTAATATTAACATATAGCATTATAACCATACACTTGGACCTCACATCATCCCTTCCTCTCGAAATGATAGAAGATAATTAGGATTCTCTAGTGGACAAACTAGAATATGAAGGAACATCAAAAGAAGGCATTGGTAGATATGTTAGTGGTATTAATTGTTTTTAATCCTTTTGTATGAAGCATTTTGCTACTGCATATACACAATTTATGGAGGATCAATTTATTAGTCATTATGCTAAACTTTATAAACTTGCAGCTCAATTTACCACAATACTTGATACAGTCCCTTTCACTGAGAAAAGAGCCTCTTAGATAAACCACATACTGTAAGATTGGGAAAATAGATTAACACTAAAGCATTCATTTTGTACTCTATATGTGGATAATAATGAAAGTTATAATGTCATTGTTGCCTCACTTATATACGACTCAAGTGTTTACTAGACTTTGTTTAAATTAGTGGAAGAATGCTTGTCAAATACTAATCCCAAGACATAACATTGGTAGCTTGTGGCAATCGCAAAAGTAAACTCAACTCCGTTAGTAGTATCAAATCATAACCATATAAGAGTTTATATGGTGAAGCATCAACAAAACTTTACACCCCTATGATATATGCATATTAAAAAGACAATAAATAACCATTCCAATTCAAATGTTGAAAGTTTATATACTTTATAATTATCCTTTTAAAGATCTAAATGAGCCATTCCACCAAACTATCAAATTATGGATAATAAGCATTTGTGAAAGTGTGACTTATCCCCAATTGAGACGTTAAAATGTGAAATGCCTCAGCCATAAATGTGGGATTATTATCCAAAAGAATTTGCTTTGGATAAGAATACTAGAACACCACTCGATTGAGGGGGAAGTATCTAACAACAGTTGCAAACGCATTAGCAAGAGCTCCGACTTCCTTTAGCAAGTTAAGTAGTCAAAAGCAATAATGACATACTCAATGCCAACAATCTATTATGGAAAATGCTCTATTAGATTAAATGCTACCAACTCAAACGGATAAGAAATTACAATTAACTCCAGCTGTCCTTATTATGAGTTTAGCATCAAACATAGCTATGCACATACCGGATATTATGTCACATCTCTACCAATAAAAAAACTTGTACAACTTTTCAGTCATACAATGATATCCTATATGCTTGCCTATAATAGGAGAATCATGGTAGATGTGGAGAAAGCATGGAATAAAGATCAAAGGCACCATCAACTATAAATGATCATCAGAAAATAGTTATCCTCAAGGTAATATTAAGAATGTAAATACCGAAATGGTAAGTCATCAATAAATGATGCAAAATTCTCAAATCCATCATAAAACTTTCGAATTCACAACTTAACTATTTAAGCCTCATCAAAAAAAGGTAAATCTTGCTTCACATCTTATGGACATTGAACATCAAACATAACAATTATTGGTGGCATAGAATCTTTATTTAGAAAATTCACAAATGTTAAAATAATAGGCTCGTTAGAAATATGGGAATAGAGCAAAAAAGGAAAAAGAGTTCAAGAAAGGGCATTAGTATTAGCCATAGAACTCTTTAGGTGATGAATAACATCAAAATCATATTGTACAACTAAATTTTCCATTCTACCTTAGTCACTTAACCATACCTCTGACCACTTGGAGGAGTCTCACTCACAACCTCTAGAAGTCCTATTTCGGACTTGGGTTTGCTAGCCTCAAGAATGGCATCCCCGCCACTCAACCTTTGCACTTGGTCCAAGTGCTCCATGTGTCCAATCCCATGATCGACACCCCAAGGTACCATCGATATATTAGCCTATTATGCTAATGCCATGCCCCTTCACCTTGGTCACACTGGTGGTCTAACACCACCTACATCACAATCCCGTCTTTCAAGGATTGGGCCATCCATCTATAAGTGATCATCCCAAATTCACTCCTTAGCATCCTTAGGATGCCTGCAAACATGGGGAATAACCTTCCCCAATATCCCTTTTCCGGTCCCCACCAAGTCCCTTTCTGCCTATGGCCGTGTTCGCCAACACTGCCACTGAATCGAGGCCCACAAGCCCAACCACTAAGTCCCACGGTCCTATGGGACTTCCTCACCACACGACTGTGTCCTTGGTCACTACACCAGAGGACTACTCCTTTTCCTTTTCACAGTCTGGGCCTTTGGGATAACATTTCGGAATACCATGGCCTTACACGAGCCTCATGGGTACTCTCCCCACCTTCTGCCTTTGGGTGCTCTAGCCATGGGCTTAGAGCGAGGTTCTGTTGAGCCATGCTAGATATCCAAGTAGGTAGTGCTACCCACACTTGGACTGGGAGCATCGACCATTCGATCTCCTGGGGGAACTAGAGGCAGCTCTTGAATACTTCACCAAGCTACCTTGCTTGTCGGTCCGTATTCATTCTAGCCTTGGACTTCCCAATGGTCAGCTCATCACCCAACATTGGGTATGGCCTTCCTGGGCCAAACTAACCTTTCCTAGCCAAACTGGCTCCACTAGGCTCCAACCCCCACACTCTCCCTACTATACTTTTGGAACCCTGCAGCTCCCCCCCCCGGGGGACGATCACTTTGGGCTTTCACCCAACTGCCTGTATTAGTATTCGGACTCGGTCTCAGTCCCAGTTTCAGACTCGGACTCGGTCTCAGTCTCAATCTCGGTCTCAGTCTTAGTTCCATCTCGGACTCCATCTCGGGTCCATCTTGGACTCCATCTCGGACTCCATCTCGGATCCATCTCGAACTCCATCTCGGGTCCTTCTCGGACGCCATATTGGATCCATCTCAAACTCCATCTCAAGTCCATCTCGGACTCCATCTCAAACTCCATCTTGGGTCCATCTTAGACTCCATCTTGGGTCCATCTCGAGCTCCATCTCGGGTCCATCTCGGACTCCATCTTGAGTCCTTCTCGGACTCCATCTCGGGTCCATCTCGGACTCCATCTCAGGTCCATCTCGGACTCCATCTCGGGTCCATCTTGGACTCCATCTTGGGTCCATTTCGGACTCCATCTCGGGTCCATCTCAGACTCCATCTCAGACTCCATCTCGGACTCCATCTTGGACACTTCCACGTGTCATGTGTTGGTCCTTTTGGGTCCCTTTTTGGAGCCTCGCTTATTGCTCGCTTCGTGCTGATTCCTCGAGCACTTTGTTGGGAGTTCCACTCCTGCTCTCGACCTTTCAAGTCGGAGCCTTTTAGTCCAAATGTGTTACGCTCATTTGGCTTTTGCTTCGGCCACTACCACGTGGCACCCTTTCGGCTCCACTTTGGGGCTTAGGGATTTGTGTCTCACAATTTGGTGGCATTTGATTTGATAGGGTCTTTTCCACAATCAGACTCCATTTTGGGTCCTTCTCGGACTCCATCTCGAGTCCTTCTCGGACACCATCTCGGGTCCATCTTAGACTCCATTTCGGGTCCATCTCGGACTCCATTTTGGGTCCATCTTGGACTCCATCTTGGGTCCATCTCAGACTCCATCTCGGGTCCATCTCGGACTCCATCTCAGGTCCATCTCAAACTCCATCTCAGACACTTCCATGTGTCATATGTTGGTCCTTTTGGGTCCCTTTTTGGAGCCTCGTTTATTGCTCGCTTTGTGCTCGTTCCTCAAGCACTTTTGTTAGGAGTTCCACTCCCGCTCTCAACCTTTCAAGTCGAAGCTTTTGGTCCAAAAGTGTTACATTCATTTAGCTTTTGCTTCAAAGACTACCTCGTGGCACCCTTTCGGCTCCACTTTGGGGCCTAGGGATTTTGTGTCTCACACATATATCTGAAGCTTTAAAGCCCATCTAGCAATATGATCAACCAAGTTCTTTTGCTTTAATGACAAAGTAACAACAACATGATCATCTTTTAGTAATGTTCGAAAACCATGTAGATAGGTATGAAGTTTTTTGAAACCTTAAATTTTTCCTAAACACTCTTTTATTGTGGAATAGTTCACCTCTATGGGTTGTAATGTACATCTGATATATACAATGAGATGGCATTGACTAGGCACATTTAGACTCTTTTGCATCAATATATCTCCAAGATTGATATCAAAAACATCCATACGCAAAATGAAAGGTTGAATGTAGTTAAGATATACCAAAATTGAATGAGTCATCAACAACTCTTTGAAATCCATAAATGCTCGCTTACAATCCACGGACTAGATGAAAGATGATGTTAACAACTTCAACAATATGCAAGTAATTAAAAATAATGACTTATTGAGATGATCTATATGGGTTCAAATATAAAGAGAAAAAGGCTTATGAATAAAAGTGCACCCCCTTTTTCAATTGGTTAAGGGTTTTCTGGGATACTTAGGTTTAATGGTCTTGGGATACTTAAGGTTAAATGTCTTTAAGTTTGAATAGTATTGGGTTGGATGACTTCCCAGGAAGTCTAAATTCAAAAATTTATATTTGGTATTAGAGAAGTATCGAATCCAACTCTGTTGGTTGGCTAATAGAATCGCACAATATGTTAATTGACATCTGGTAGGTTCAATTTCCTTTAACTGGGCTTGATTCAAAGGGTAAGGTGTCAAGAGAGTGGGGCTCTCGAGAAAGTTGCGGCTCTTACCTTCTATTTACGAGGGCGTGAATTTGTAAGGAAGCTTCAAATTCAAAATCTTACATTTGGTATTAAAGAGGTGTCAAGTCTGACTTTTTTAGTTGGTTAGTGGAATCGCATCACATATTGATTGAAATTTGGTAAATCTAATTAACTCTAGATAGGCTCGACTTAAGGGGTAGGGTGTTAA